TTATACGAATTATACTTTTTGTGCTAATATAAGACACCCTACAGATTAGGTATACACACACACTCACACATATGCTGATACAACACCACGCCGCCGCACGCGTCCACACTTGGAACACTTGGAACGTATCCACACTTTATTTATTTATACGGAAATTTTGTCAAAAATTAAGTGCCTATTTTTTTTACATAATTCGAATGAGAATCATGTACCGAGTATGCTCCTTAAATATTGATAGTAATTCACCAGTCACCCTGTATATTATTAAAGAAATAAAAATTTTGAGCAGCGATAAGCCCGTCACGTTGAGTATAATTAATCTTACACAAAGTTATGATAACGCTTGATTATGTAAGTTTGAATGACATCGCTACAGCCGAATTTATATCATACTAACACATATAAAACACCTAATTAACATTTACACATATTAATTAATTAATCTCCACACAAATTAATTAAAAAAAAACTACCATAATAAATTAATATTTACATATGGCAACATTAATTCTGTTCACCAATATTCTATATATGGCAACACCGTGCAACGTCAACCCTGACCACGAGGACCACGTGTCTTGAGGTTACATACACCGATAAGTTATCAAAAAAAACTTAATACTTCTGATACTATATTCTTATCAATACAGAAATATTTTTCCACATATTTATTAAAAAACTAGTTTTTGCCCGGGACTTCGTCCGCGTTAGTTTCGTCATTAGTGATATATGTATAGCTGACCGGGCGAACTCTATTCCGCTTTAGAGGCCATTAATAATCAGGTTTGTCCTGTTTCAATCGAACAGAATGATTGACATATTAGTTAGTTGTCAAATCTAATGTCAAAGAAAACGTTTGTATGGGAAATAGAAAAGGGCTGTTTTTAGGGTTTTCCCGGAATAGAATCAATTTTTTTCAGTTTTCAAACCTTCCCTGAACCTCCACAAACATTTCAAGACTAAGATACGATAAATCCGTTCAGCTGTTCTCGAGTTTTAGCGAGACTAAGGAACAGCAATCCATTTATATATATATAGAAGATAGAAGATAATATTTAATAAATTTAAATAATTTTCAAAATTATTTTTTCAAAAATGTTCAAATTTAATCATTTAGTTAATTTCGTATTTATGTTTGTATGTGTTATAATTTCTCTAAAATACCGATCCGATTTTGATGTGATTTTCGTTAATTTAAAAAGAATCTAATAATTAAATACCTATTGAATATATTTATATAAATATACATATATTTATCACGATAATTCTAATTAGTTATACCTCTTTATGTGACGTCAGTTAAAAAATTGTCTTAAGCAAAAAAAAATAGATTTCATTTTGTTATAAGCACATATATTTAAAATGAAAACTAAGTAAAAAACGTATCAAATCTCGTATTACGAGTTGGTTGAAATTAGAGATTCCTTAGTCGTGATAATGAGACGTGTAAACTGAATTAAAATTTATATACTGTTAAACTGTCGGTACGATCGTGTGTCGTCTGAACTGGTAGTAATAGCTCAGGTGAATGTCGTGTATATAGGTCAAGTTCAAATCGATACAAAATGACAAAATACCTATTATATACATATATTAATTAAAAATAATTACATTATATTAGAAAACTAGCTTTTACATGAGACTTTGGTCGTGTTTATTTTGGCATTGTGCTATGTATACAAAAAGGTTTTTTATATATGAACCAACAGTCAGCGCCATCTATCGTGTGTAATTACTTCATTCAATACATCTGTTATGAAGTGTTCCCGGGAACTACACGGACTGGACATACATTATATACTATGTGTTATTATAATGTACTAGCTTTCCACCCGCAGCTTCGCCCGCGTTGAGTTCGGTTATATCATGTTTCCAAGAGAACCTTTTCAAAAGTCTGGGATAAAAACTATCCTATGTTCTTTCTCAAGGTCGACTCTATCTCTGTACCAAATTTCATTAAAATCTGTTCAGTGGTTTAGGCGTGAAAGCGTAACAGACAAACAGACAGAGTTACTTTCGCAAATATAATATTAGTATGACATATATTATTGTATACGCTTCATCCAAATCTTCTATACATTATGTACAAAAACTGTCGTACATACTATAAATTCATAAATTAATTAAATTTACTTATATTTACGTAATAACTATTAAAATTCAAAATACGAAATTACGTCCCCAATTATTTCAAATGTCACAACAATCAATAATAAACCTAATATACATTATAAATAAAGTCATTTTCTTTTATAATTAATTTTAATATATCAGTTTAGTAGATACAATGTAACAGGTCAACAGACACACATACAATCACACGACACACCTCTGACATTTGTAACCCGTTAGATACAATAAAATGTTTTATCTAATATAGTTTTTTTCTATATGTTTATCTTTTACAACGTGGTCGAGACTTGTATCTACGTAACCTATATAATATTGAGATAAATGTAGTGACATCACAACGCACACACACACACACACACATATATATACATATATATGCTTGCCGTAAAATTAATATATAGAAATAGTGATAGAAACGACAAGAGTGGTGGCCTAGTGGTTAAAGGGCCCGCCTCTCATTACCGAAGGCACGGGTTCGATCCTGGCCCGGGCAAGTACCAATGTGATTTTTCCGAGTCATATGTACTTTCTAAGAGTGTTTAGACATCACTGATTAATGTTGATTCCCAAAAGAGGGTTGATGTCAGGCAGGCAGCCGGTCGTAAAAACAAATAGCCTAAAACTATTCACAAACATGTAAGGCAGACCCTGGCTATAGCTGGGAAATTGCCAGGTAGAAGAAGAAGAAGTGATAGAAACGACAAGACTAAAGTGATGAACCATTTTTGATTCAATTTTAGGCAAATGCAGTTAGAATTAATTGATTATATCCATGAGAATTTTGTAAAAAATGGATTAATGTTATAGTAATATACATATATGAACATTATACAGGGTGACTGGTGAATTACTATCAATATTTAAGGAGAATACTCGGTACATGATTCTCATTCGAATTATGTAAAACAAAATAGGTACTTAATTTTTGACAAAAATTCCATATAAATAAATAAAGTGTGTACACGTTCCAAGTGTTCCAAGTGTGGACGCGTGCGGCGGCGTGCTGATACAACATTATGCCGCCGCCGTGTCTGTGTGAGTGTGTGTGTATACCTAATCTGTAGGGTGTTCATACGATGCGTAATTAATTACACAACTTTTGGTTAACTTTACTTAGAAGTTTATTAATATTTATGTTATATTAATTTTTATTTTGTCATATATGATCGTCAAATATCACGTCCTCAAATATCGATAGTAATTCACCAGTCACCCTGTATATATATTAAACATATATAACACAGACAGACCAATTATTAACAACTAGTATATTGTCAATAATCCATTTATCCAACTGAGAGGAGTAAAAACACATCTTATATCTTAGTGACCTAACAGAAAATGTTGTGTCCGTCAGGGTAGAATTATATTATTACAGTATGTTAATCATTAAAATATATATGTATTGTTACCTTATTAGACTATTTAAGAGATATATAATATTTTGGGTATGCAAATACAGACATACATACATATATATTGCATATAAGACTATGCTGACCTAGTAATTTTAATATTTAAGCACCTCAAATGAAAAAAACACTTTCAAATTTATAAGCATATACATATTATATAAAATGTACATTATTATATATATGTAATTATTATATACAAAAACTTTGTTAAAATATGTGTAAATTTTGTATCGCAAGCAGAGACAGGCGCAATCATATATTTAACATTGAAATATATATAATCCACACATATCATATCATATGATATATTAAGGCTTTAAAGATATAGTATGTAACATATTATGATAAATTTTTAAGCACTGATAATATTCTATTAAAGAGCAGATATATAATTATGCAATTATTAATATATTTTACTGGGGCAAGATAGTGTTTGTTCATATATATATATATATATATATATATATATGTGTATGCTGATGAAATTCTATGTAAGAATTATCAAGCAAAGTCGGATGAATTTGTTAGGCAATATATAAGCTTGTGTGTATATATCTTCTTCTTCCTAGCAATTTTCCAGCTTTAGCCAGTGTCTGCCTTACATGTAGTGAACAGTTTTGGCTAATTATTTTTATGACCGGCCGCCTGCCTGACATCAACCCTCTTTTGGGAAACTTGTGTATATATATAGCTATATAGAATTTTCTCTTCTCCTGTAAGAGATAGAAAAGTATCTAGATGAACCTGGCTAAAGTTTCCAAAACGAGGGCTAATAATCACTAGTTTTCATACAAATACTAAATACTTAGTAAAGAGTTAATCATTGATAATTCTTTTTATATTATTAACAAAGGTATAGTAATAAAATACTCCAATTTTTCAGTATTCAGTTTGTAAGTGAAACATATAGTAAGTACATTATATATGAATATAAAGATAGAATTAATTTTGGTATTAATATGTATTTTTATCCCAATTATATGTTGTGTGTTATTATATGTTAATTTTAATTATATGTCTTATTATGATTTTAATTAAATTGTATTATGTGACAAATATAGCTGACAGTAGATATTTGTAATAATATATATATAGGTTAATGGTCACTTGGAGTGACACAAGAACAGCACAACATGAAATAACCTAAAAAATATATGTAATAAAATTATATCAAATAAAGCTGAAATTTGTTTAAGATTATAAAGAATTGTCAGTTCATTTCAGTATTCACACATTCAGCGGTGTAATAGGTAATGCAAATAAGTTACATTGATGCTAACATAATATATGTACTGACATATATATTATATATGTTACTCAATATAAAGCCAGCACCTTGACTACATTATGCAATAATGCCAACAAGACCGTATTGATTATAAAATTTCATAATATGACTCAATAGGGCAGTATGCAATCAAATTGGAAGTGTGACAAGTCATATCCACGTACCTGCCAAGGGTTAACTTTGGGTATGGGAGCCTCCACGAACTTCTTGGGCTGCGGCTCAGTGGACTGCTGCTGGTCGGACGCCGGCTGGGGCTCCGTCGGCGGCTTGGGTTCCTTGTGCGGGCGAGGTGCAGCCCTGCGCTCTCGCTCCCTGCGACTCTTGGCCGGTCTGCGGGCGTGCGAGATGACCGGCACGAAGCCTTCCTCCTCCTCGTCATCCTGGCGAGGCGGCGCGTCTGCCACCTCCTCCGTCGCCTCTATGTTCTCTTTATTGCTGTCACTCACTCTAAAGTTGAGCACCGACGCGTACGAGGGTCCTGCGCCCTCGACGGACACCCGCGCGGCCATGCCGCTGCTATCCACGTTATGTAAGCCCGGGCGCGCGCTTCGCGCCGACCTAGGATCACGAGCGCGGCGCCATGCCCCTTAACAAAACGGCATGCTTCGGGTCGGACCCACGAAATGCACAACTTTCGCTATTACAAGAAGGTCGATCGAAACGTCTATGTATACGAAACACAGTAACGTATTTACAGAGTGTAATATGCTCAAAGTTCAAAATGCACACCAGACTGGCCCTGGATCGACCGTATTTACATCGAAAAAATTCACTTCCGTCGACTTGTTCCAACTATTTAACGACACACAACGCTCCGGACACACCGTATCTATCGATTACGTGCACAACCTGTACTCGAAAAGGCGTTTTTAACCTGAAAATAACTAATGAACCATATTTTGTTCACAATTCACACATGTGGTCGGACGCCCAAAAAGGGTATTTTCCGCAACACACGGAACTCGCGGAAGGCTGTGACTTCTAATTTTACAAAAAGCTCTTTTTTCGCCAGATGTCGTTAGTGGACCACTGACAGTGGAAATGTTCAAGATAAAGGAACATTTAAAATGAAATATAAAAAAAAATCTGCCTCGAATTTAGATAGATACTACTGACGATGATTGAACATGTATTTACCTCTAAAGAAATGATATCAATTTTTATTTATATTTGAAAAATGTTCCTTGTCATAAACAATTTTCTACTATTCGTGAACGCTACAATAACAAAATCACATTTCATTCGAATTTTTTCACGACCTTGTGATTGCGACAATGTAACCTATTTCATATAACTAATAATACTTAAGGACCGTAAATATTAATATAACTCTATTTTATGTTATCATTTATCTCAGATAATAAAATAAAATTTAATAATATGCAAATATAAAACCATATTAAAGAGTTATAACATTTTTAAATTAAAATAATTTATATAGCAACATTACATTTTCGTTTAGAAATTGGAAAAGGAAATAATCCAGTTTTCTGAATTTATTAAAGAAATTTAATGTAAGCTTTTATTAATTACAAAATAAATTCAAGTATACGCAGTGTCTGGATTAGTGGGACAGTACATTCCAAGATAGCTTCGACAATTCCTGCAGTAGTGATAAACATCTTTGCACGATCGTAAAACATACGGCAAAGGCGCACAAATCCAGCAACACATTAAACATAAAGACATCGCACATAAATGGGTACACAACGTTATTTTACAGGTAACCACTGTCATTCCCGTGTGTCCACATTGAGGGCAGACAATAGGCATTGGGGTGAAACCAAAATTATATATTCTAGGTGGCGGTTGCGTGATAGGATTTTCAACGTAGATGTCGAATGCTGTAGCGTAGTTTGGGGGAGGTGTGTGCTGCACGAAGGATGGTGATGGGTAGAAAGTTCCCATCAATCTAGGCCGTCTTCTTGCAGCCATTTGGCGCAGCACAAATGAATACGACGGCGGCGCGCTTGTCAAGGAATCTGGAGGTGATAGTTCTTTACTAAGAGCTGAATTGTTAGTTAATTTCAGTTTATCGTCGATATTTTTGAATGCTAAACTTATAGAGCTCGTGTTTAGTTTCGCTAAAGCCTGTAAGAATAAAGACTGTGGCTGTGAAGATGTTGGCATTCTTATTGACATCGGTGATGGTACGTTGGAAAATATACGAAGGGGTTGGGTTAACACGACGGGAGATTCTGGGAGAGCGCTTGGTCCCTCGCTTGAGAGTCTCGGAGAACAGTTATTATAACCAGGCTCGACGCCGTTTGGGCTTACATCTAACTTATAAGTCATAATTTCTTTAGATGTTATCGATACATTATCGTTTTCGTCCTCGGTCTGTACATCTCTAGTTGTTGGATCAGTATCTATATTGTTATCATTTTCATTATCCATGATTGACATATGACATATTTTAACTTTTAATTTCTAATATATAAATCAACATATATAAGTAAAAGTTGTGACGTTTCTGCAACGTTGGTGCCTAACTGTTTATGACGTGGAAAAGTCAAAAACTAATATAGGTATTCCTTGACATGTTTTAATGCATGTTACTATTTTTAAGATATTTTTTGCTTTTTCCATTAGAATGAATTATTTATGTTGTTGTTATTATTGAAATAATTTTAAACTTTATTATCTATATACAGGATTTTTTGATTTAATAACTAAGAGTGAATTTTATAACAAAGAGCTTTTGTTTTATTAACAGTTTTTTTTTGTTTCACTCACTAATGTACCTTTTAAATTTATAATAATATAAATTTAATAATAATAGTTAAGTTATAATTTTAACCGGAAGACTAAATGTAATAACAATTTATTTTTGTTTCTAGCAACTTCATTTTAAAATTGTCAAGAGACCATCTCTTCCGGTCTTTTACTCCTCCGTGGCATGGCGGATGGTCTTTCCGCCTCGTATAGTGTGTAATTGGAGGAATAACTTCGCTTATATAGCGAAATGGTAAGTTTCAACTTTTTTACAGTGCAAAATAGTATTCTAATAATGTTCTATTGGTGAAAGTTTCTAAGTGATTGTGTAGAATGATTGTTTTAACATCACGGTGTGCCCCACGTGTTTCGTGAACGGACTCGAAAATATGTTCAAAATTAGGACTTTATGTAAGTTTACTCACACTCGAAGTGAATCAGGGCGAATTATTTTACATATTTCTACTTTATTTTACAATAATAATCTGGAATTTTAGATTCGTCATCAAGTTATAACCCTGTTCATGGCTACGCTTCTCAAGCCATTGTTGTATAGTTGTTTTGTTTATTCGAACTTGTTATGGATAGTTAATATTGTAGAAAGTAAGCTAATTTCTCTAGTTATACTACTTTCTTGCTCAATAAATAGAAATAAAATTAATTAAATTGAGGTTAGGATATTCATTGATTGGTAGATTCTTAGTCGCCGGCGTGCTTTTTAAACTAACATTATCTTAACAATTGATATTTAAAATCCTCATTTTTATTAATTTGATATATATTAATAACGTTTATGTCCTATGTATTGTTTTAATTGAGAAATAATTTCTTAAAAACCAAACAGTAATATTTGTATTCTGACTACATATATCTTATATCTATATAATATTTAAATAAAATCAGATTTAAACTCACCATATACTTATATGTAGGTACTTTAATTTTGACAAATCTACTATTAAATATAATCTTTTCATTATATCTTCAGTAACTTGACTAAGTAAGGTGCACACTTCATTTATTCATAATTAATTCGTTCCTTCATCCCCAAACTCTTCCTGGCTGATGTAAATCATCCCCCAGGTACAATATAGGGGTATATTAAACATTCTTGTAGGAAACATTGCACAACTATCAAGTTGGCAGTGTGTCGACAAGTAGAAGACATTACAATCATTAAATCACCTTGAACTGAGTTAGACTTGTATTATTTTATGTATATACTAGCTTCCCGCCCGCGTGGAGTTCGGTTATATCGCGTTTCCAAGAGAACCTTTCAAAAGTCTGCAATAAAAACTATGCTATGGTCTTTCTCAAGGTCAACTCTGTCTGTACCAAATTTCATTAAAATCAGTTCAGTGGTTTAGGCGTGAAAGCGTAACAGACAGACAGAGTTATTTTAGCATTAATAATATTAGTAGGGATATTGATAGCTCCTATGTAAAAGAGCCTTGTGCAAAATGACTGTATATAATATGTTAAAAATGTGTTACTTATGCCATTTCAGTGATTAAAAACAATGTTTCCACCAACAACTATTCATTTTTTTAAATGGATGTTGTAGAATACAGTATTATGAAGTATTTAAAGCAAAAAAATGGCTATATTGCTACATTGGACCTTATACATAGGAGGCAATATTATATCAATATAAAAGTATTGATGGGTAATCAAGTCAAGTTGTTACATTCATATATATATACACATATATGTAAGTTACTGAATCTATGTCGTGTATTGTATTAAGAAAATATGTATTACTAATCAGCTAATGATATAATTCAACACTTAATTGAAGAAATTAAATAATAATTAATTATATTTGTAATCAATTGTCTCCAGAGTCTATCAGTAGCCCGGCCTTTAGTGTCGGTGTACACAGAGAAGAGTGAGAAGGTAGCCGATGCAAACATCCCGCTGCCGTTTGTTTTCAAGGCTCCGATAAGGCCCGACCTTGTCAACGATGTCCATGTGTCGATGAGCAAGAACTCTAGGCAGCCTTACTGCGTCAGCAAGGAAGCCGGTAAGATTATATACCTGTTCAATATATTGTTATGGCTTGACTGGTTCTGATAGGGCTTTAATGTTTGTTTGTCTGTTCTAGTTAATCTCATGAAATAAAATGTATGTATATTTGGACAAAGCTGGCTTACAGATAGTATATTGTATAGAATTAATGTACTTAGTATTGAGTCAGGTTTTTATATAATGTTTTATAAGAAGTTAGTATATACTCAAACTCAAATAACTTTATTCAATATAGAAGCGTTATACTTACTTATTGATGGTCACTTGAGACACTACCACATACGACTTTGTTATGAATGAAAGAATCTATCCATATATTGCACACATGTCCACACACAATGCTGCCCTAGCCCTGTGTGTCACTGCGATCATGTGCTACATGACAGAGACGGGGAGGCGTTCCGGGGCGCTCTTGTGACCGCCACGGGTGCATCACTGTCACTACACACATATTTGGCCGTTTAATGCCAGATCGTTGTATTGTATGTGTATATTAATATGCCTTTCATCATCAGGTCATCAAACCAGTGCTGAATCATGGGGAACTGGTCGCGCTGTTGCCCGTATACCTCGTGTACGAGGTGGTGGTACTCACCGGTAAGTTGGGATAATACATATAAGATACATTGGTCAAGTTACTACAGCTCGAACATGTTCTGTCTCGACCGTAAGTACCACCCTCTCACAGAAGATCGGCGTGAAGTAGTCTTTAATGGATGCGTTTCGTATGATGAGTGAGAGAGATGGTTGCTCTATCTCTTTCCCACCTTTTCTTTTCTCTCCCTCCCACAACACATCCACAATATCTCCTATGGTGCGTATGTCAATGAGCGACGGTAACTACCTTCTATCAAGTAGGCCGTCTGTTCATTTGCTTGTTTTCATAACAATGAAAGATTGTTTTCATGTTTTACTTATCACTATTAACTCGATTACTTTCTAAGAATTTTGCCTATATACATTTATTATATTACCTTCAATATCTTAACCAAGCAATAATTATTCCTAGATCGGGTCAGGGTGCCTTCGGTAACATGTGTAGAGGCGGTCGTATGTTCGCGCCTACCAAGCCCTGGCGCCGCTGGCACCGTCGCGTCAATCTGCGGCAGAGAAGAGCTGCTGCTGCAGCAGCAGTTGCCGCAGCTGGTGTACCAGCACTAGTACAGGCAAGAGGTGAGAATATAAAATTATAATATGATACTTAGATATCAGAGATACTTAATATATAAGTAGATTAATATTGAAGTCAGTGGTGTCCTAGAGGTTAAAAGGGCTGTCTCTCATGCACGAATGCGCGGGTTCGATCCTGGCAATTACCAATGTGATTTTTCCGAGTCACATGTACTTTCTAAGAGTATTTAGACATCACTGATTAATGTAATCCCAAAGAGGGTTGATGTCAGACAGGTGGATCGTAAAAACAATTAGCCAAAACTATACACAACATGTAAGCCAGACCCTGGCTAAAGCTGGGAAATTGACAGGAAGAAGAAGAATGAAGCAATGAGAAAGTTGCAACAGTCACATTTATTTATTTACTAGCTGCGCCCTGCGGATTTCTGGGACGTAAAGTAGCCTATGTGTATACCGGGACGTCAGCTTCCCGTAAACATAATTTTATCAAAATCGGTTCAGCCGTTTGAGCGTGAAGAAGTAACAAACATACACACACACAAACTTTAGCAATTTCAATATAAGTAGGATGTACCAAAAAAAAAAAGATGTTACAATTAAAGTATTATAAAAGAAATGTGATGTACAAAGGATAACTTATCTCTTAAAAGAGATCTCTACCAGAAATCCTTTTGATAGAGGAAATGAGAAGAGAAATTTGGAATATGTACAATAAAGACACAATTAGTGTTTTTCAAACTTGCTGTAAAAATAGTTGGTTTTGGACAAATTATTTAGTAAACTTATCATTTAAAACATAAATCACAATGCTGACACAATAGCGAGAGAATAAAAATATTACTTATATGGTGTTGCAAAAGCAAAATTGTGATACATCTAATGCATGAACAATATTTTTTATACAAAATCCTTATCCCATTTTTATGTATGTAAATAATATATTATTTACATATTATAGGTCACATCATTGAAAAGGTGCCTGAATTCCCACTTGTGGTGGCTGACTCTGTCCAAGCCATTGAGAAGACAAAGCAGGCTGTTATCTTCCTAAGAAGAGTGAAGGCCTGGTCCGATGTGCTCAAGGTATGTGATATATATATATATATATTAGTAAAACCGACATATAAAAAAGGTATTATGTTATTTTAATATCCTATCCTTTGTGGTGGCCTAAAGGTTAAAAGGTCTGCCTCATGCGTGAGAGCGCGGGTTCGATCCTGGCAAGTAACAATGTGATGTTCCGAGTCATATGTATTTTATAAGAGTATTTAGACATCACTGACAGATGAAGGAAAACATCGTGAGGAAACATGGACTTATATCAAATTATAAGTTTGAAATCACCAACCCGTCTTGAGCGAGTGTGATAATTAATGCTCTAACCTTCTCCATGTGAGAATGACGCAGCCCAGCAATATGCTCTGATAGGATGATGATGATAGTAATTTTATTAGTGAAACGGTACAAACCAAGATCTGCCGAAGATCCCTTTTCTATACTACAAGATGATAAAGATCTTGAAGTATTCCATGAGGGATGAGATAATACTTCCTAGACCAACAAACCTTTGAGATGTGTTTTCATATGGTTATATTATTTAGGAGACAAAATTAAATATAGTTACTAGCTTTCCGCCCGCAGCTTCGCCCGCGTGGAGTTCGGTTATATCGCGTTTCCAAGAGAACCTTTCAAAAGTCTGGGATAAAAACTATCCTATGTTCTTTCTCAAGGTCAACTCTATGTCTGTATCAAATTTCATTAAAATCAGTTCCGTGGTTTAGGCGTGAAAGCTTAACAGACAGACAGAGTTACTTTCGCATTTATAATATTAATACCTCTATATATCCATTGCATAGTTTAATCCATTTTTAACCTAGCTAAGTTATAATTACTAGAAAAACTAAGCTTACCATTATAAAAACTACACTTTCAATATAATACAAAGTAAATTAAGATCTTTATATACAATACAAATTGTTTATAATCCCCAAAATTGATAAATTTTTATTAATATATGTATATATATTTGTTTGATTATATGTATATTTTATCATCAGGTATACAAATCTCAACGTCTGCGTGCCGGCAAGGGTAAAATGCGTAACAGACGCAAGCTGCAGAGAAAAGGACCTTTGATTGTTTACCACAAGGACCAAGTAAGACTTTATTATATACTGACATACACATATTATAGTAAAACATTAGTCAGATTACAGATAAAAATTGAGAGAAGATTGTAATTGCATTGTGTTCAATATATGTATGTATATGTATGTTGGAGAATTTATTTATGAGAGAAACTGATCTTAATTGAATATACAGGGTGACTGGTGAATTACTATCGATATTTGAGGACGTGATTTGTGACGATCATATATGACAAAATAAAAATTAATATAACATAAATATTAATAAACCTCTAAGTAAAGTTAACCAAAAGTTATGTAATTAATTACGCATCGTGTGAACACCCTACAGATTAGGTATACACCCACACTCACACATACAAGTGCGGCGGCGTTGTGTTGTATCAGCACGCCGCCGCACGCCTCCACACTTGGAACACTTGGAACGTGTCAACACTATTTATTTATACGGAAATTTTGTCAAAAATTAAGTACCTATTTTTTTTACATAATTCGAATGAGAATCATGTACCGAGTATCCTCCTTAAATATTGATAGTAATTCACCAGTCACCCTGTATACATATTTAACATGTCATTCCAAATGTAACAATCTAAACAGTATTAAGTAGTACACATCAAAATGACTTTTAATAAAACATTGTACTAGTGAATGTCCTCTTTGTATAATCTTCCTTTAACTCGTCATAATCTTTCCCGTGGTATATTTCCAGGGTCTGTCCAAAGCTTTCCGTAACATCCCCGGAGTGGAGACCATCAGTGTCAACAAATTGAACCTTTTGAAGCTGGCTCCAGGAGGTCACGTTGGACGCTTCATCATATGGACCAAGAGCGCTTTTGAGAGGCTCGGTGAGTAAAACAGACACACACATATATATACGTGCACACATGTCCACACACAGTGCTGCCCTAGCCCTGTGTGTCACTGCGATCATGTGCTACATGACAGAGACGGGGAGGCGTTCTGGGGCGCTCCTGTGACCGCCACGGGTGCATCACTGTCACTACACACATATATTATATATATATTGATGAGATTTTCTTAATATTAATATATGTAGCTTATTATTATTATTTTTACCGTCATAGACCCGCTGTTCGGCTCGTGGAAGACCCCGTCCAAGTTGAAGAAGGGCTTCAACCTGCCGCAGCCCAAGATGGCCAACACTGACCTGTCTCGTCTGCTCAAGTGTGACGAGATCAGGAAGGTGCTGCGCGCTCCCAAGTAAGTGTTGCTACTCGTGCATAATATACTAGAAGACCCGGCGAACTTCGTATCGCCCTATAATCAAGAAATATCTGTTACGTTTTCTTAATAAATAAATTTAGGTTGTACTTTAGCCTCAGAATTATTAATGTGTGGTGGTTATGCTATTATTAAATAGTCGCTCATATATGACGTTTGTAATTTTAACGAAGCGCTATCTATTGAATACTTACTTAACTCAGTAAACAGATAATTGTAATAATGACAAATAATTTTCTTTAATAAACAAATAATTTTCAATAAAATAATATAGTGACCATAAATTGAGATGTAAGCTATTCTATCTTTCAAGTTGGATCACAATGCACACGGATTGCAAATCAAATTTAAAATCGGTTTAGTAGTTTAGGAGTCCATCGCGGACAAACACGTGACACGAAATTTTTATATACATAAAGATATATCTGTCTGTCTGTTGCAGCAAGCGCGTAGTCCGAGCTCCCCGCAAGCTGAACCCTCTAAGCAACGCTCGCGCGATGTTGAGACTCAACCCGTACGCGGCCGTGCTCAAGAGGAAGGCTGTGCTAGATCAAAACAAACGGAGCGACGCGCGGGCACTGGCGCTGGCTGAGAAGAGAGGGGTGAGTTGATGATAAATGTACATATATATGGGGAAAATATGTTCTTACACTAATGATTACTTTGGCAATAGTTCATATTGAAATTTAGTCACCTATTTACTAGAAGATTTATCAATTTTTCTATCATTTCCATATCTTTCTATTGTACCTATATACAGGGTGACTGGTGAATTACTATCAATATTTAAGGAGCACACTCGGTACATGATTCTCATTCGAATTATGTAAAAAAAATTGGTACTTAATTTTTGACCAAATTTCCGTATAAATAAATAAAGTGTGTACACGTTGCAAGTGTTCCAAGTGTGGACGCGTGCGGCGGCGTGCTGATACAACACTACGCCGCCGCCGCGTCTGTGTGTGTGTGTGTGTGTGTGTGTATACCTAATCTGTAGGGTGTTCATACGATGCGTAATTAATAACATAACTTTTGGTTAACTTTACTTAGAAGTTTATTAATATTTATGTTATATTAATTTTTATTTTGTCATATATGATCGTCAAATATCACGTCCTCAAATATCGATAGTAATTCACCAGTCACCCTGTATATAGTTGCTATGGCATTACCGTCGTTCTTAATTTTAGTAACTAGTCTCCACTACACTCGATGATGAAATTCTCTTTCAGAGCATTGGGTTATGACAACCATGATTACTCTATCACGTTGACTATATCTGAGCATTCCTGTCAACATCCAAATTAGGCTGAGCATATCCAGGATCAATAACAAGTGTCTAACTTTTCAGATCAAGCTACCAGCCTCAGACCCTGTAGCGAGGGCGCAGCGCGTCCGTGAGAGGAGAGCTAAGAGTCTGAAGCTAGCGGCTGCCAAGGACCCCAAGAAGAAGAAGGTAGTCAAGAAGACGCCCCCGCCTCCCAAGAAGGAGAAGAAACCTAAGAAGGCGGCTGAGAAGTGATGAGAAATATACTTTGGACATGATTAGCGTTTTATTCATTGATAGACCCTCATAGATGTAGTCTGACAACTATATATACATTTAGAATTCTAACAAAATCCTTAAAAAATATAGTTAAATAACAATAAAACCTTAACTAGAGCAAACTAATTATTATCTTAAGCCAAAACACCTTAAATGAGTTAAATTCTATTTACAATTATACAAGTCGTGTTCACAACATACCTACTTTCCCTCGTTAAAACAGAACAAGCCAAGCGTCATAGCTTTAATATCACTTCGCGTGCGTTCGGGAATATAAGGTTCGGTTCGAATAAAAAGTGTTCCCTAAATATACATACTGGCAATATTAAGAATAAACACTGAAACTACCTCCAACTGATATATTAGTTTATGAAAGATTTTATTTCAAGGGATCTGAAGTCAAAAATACCCAAAGTAAGGATTTTTTTTCGTCTTTGAACATTCGTTTCTCTAGATAAACTCTTAGTCCAAGTTTTACGTCTTATTCCTGCAATGAAAATGTTGACGTAGTATTGACTTAGTTATTTTGCCAAACAGTGTTCCAAGTAAAATATATACCATCCATTTTAGGATTATTTTGAAAAGAGGATTGACTTCATATAAAAAAATTACCTTAAAAATTATTCTAATAGTGATTTCGTTTCAAACAAAGTATAAATTCTAACAGCTTGATATATACATGTCTGTTCTTAAGCTATATTATAATTTTATTAATCGCTACTACACTTTAATTAAGAGCTGCTATATAAAGGGTGAATTCCCTTCTATTCTCATGTGCGACCGGTTCGCCCAGAAAGAGCGTACCTACGCGCAAATAATTAGGAAAAATTTACCCTGGATACCTACATGCATTCGCTCTGGAATTAGCGCGTTAGCTGGGCGTAATAAGGCGTCTAGTATCTCGACTCGAGAGTCTGGCATAGTGCACGCGATTTAGGCTCGGCGCAAATGGGCCACCGACCACAGCAAAGGCTAAGAAAATCTATTACAGTTTTTCGAAACTTCGATGAAAAAATTAAAATTCGAGAAAATATAAATCCTTTATAAGTTTAGTTTTCTTAAATACTAAAAATCTATTAAGAGATTTAATAGGTTTCGAAAATTAAGGTTCATCAGAGACTAAAGAAAATTGAGGTTTTTTTTGTCAAAACTGGAATAAGTTGCAGACAAACGTAAAGTTCCTAAATGAAAATATTAGATGATTTATTGAGAAACAATATTTTAAAGTAGAGTTAGACTGTAAGTACTATTTATATAGAATTTTTATAATTTCTGTGATAAGCTGAAAATAATATAAATCCAAATTTTTTAATTGATATATTTTAAAGAATTTTGATTGTTAACAATTCTCTGTGTTAGCTCAAGTTGCAATTGGATTGTAAAACTAATTTAAAATAATTGGTAACAATAACCAAAATGTAAGTGTTTTTCTATCTGTGGGCCACGAAGACTTTCTAGGGAGGTCGCTGGCTAAAAGAGAAAAAATACAGTTCTACACTACAACAAAAATCAAATCTTAATGAGTAGGATGGGCTTTTTATTTTTCAAAATATCAAATCTTGGAGCTATTTTTGAAATATTAACTATCAAATCAGCTTGTAATTGAAGTTTATTTATCTTTTTTGTTTTAATGTCCACCATTGTAGAGAATTTCTTTAACTTAATCATTTCATTTCCTGTCTTATGGCACAAGGGGTCGCCAAAATTTTTTTACCCGTATCTCGTAATATCAAAAACATGAAATTCATGAAAAAAACTGACTCAATCTATTAAACATGTAAAACGCAAAACTTTCTACTACATCCATCATAACAAACAAGATGGCGCTTTATACAAAAATTAATGACGCTCTTGTAATCGCGTCAAATAACTTACGGTAATTAAAATAGCTTCAATGCACCAAAACATTTATTACGATACTATTTGTTATCTAATGAACTGATTTTATACGTAATAATAAAAACTATTGTGATTTGAAACTCGCAGGAAATAAAAATATATGAAACATTATTGGTTTTACTTTTTTATTATTTAGATATGACCCAGTTTTGTTTGAGAACTCTTCAACAGCAACAAAGGTATATTTCTATGGTCTCTACAAAAATATGCAGTGTTATAACTTATAAGCCATTGTGAATAAGTAATACGTATTTTTTCGTGAAGATTATCAATATTCATGTTTTTTCACATAATTTATGAAGAAAACATTGGGATGGCTTTGTTTTTCATTATATAATGATTATTCAATCAAAGATTAACAATTTCAAGGCGATAGGAGTCTCAACGATAAAATATATGTAGATATATATAAATATATAAGTACTCATACAATTACAAAAGACTGCATGTATCTGAGTGTAGTAAAATGTGAAAATATTACTCTAATATTTGAGAAAGACTATAATTAATGCATTTCTTGCACGTAACTGAATACGCACGGCAAGGATCTTATATATTAAGAGATGTTTTTCGTACTTAACACTCGTAAGAAATTGACATCATTAATTTAATTGACAATGATGACATAGTTATTTTGACAAATTTTGTCAGAAATTGTGACAATGACAATTTAAAATGAAGTACAGGACAGTTTGTGTGTTAATTTCATGTTTAAAGATGATATTATAACTTTGATTAGCTTTAGGTTATTCCTAAAATAACTACAAGCAACCGGATGTAGCGTAAAATGAAAGCGATCGATACGCTGTTTGCTTCGTTGTCTATGAATGACCTTATTACGAAATGTTTCGAAATATTCCATTTTAATAAGATAAAAATTAAAATAAATCATGTTAAAATTAAGAATATGTGGTTTTTTAATAATTTATATGAATTTTTCTATTTAAAGAGGGCTGGCTGCTTTATAAATTAACTTAGCGTCTTGTGACGATAAATTGTTTGATTGTCTATGGATTACATTTTATGATATGGTAATATTATTTGGTGAAAATCGATTTCTATGTAATTATTCACTTTCTATGGTGTCATTATGAATTTCAATATTATTTCCTTTTATTTAATTATTTTCATAGAATAACTTAAATAAGGAATAAATTAAATTTATATAACATATATTTGGTGTAACATAACTAAGTTTTGGACTATTAATGGTTAAAAACTTTTGTGGAACTTACTATTTTTTAAAAAATCATTTAAATTTTACATTGTATTACGTGTATTTATGCTTACAATAAAATATTACATTCGTTTATTATACAATGTGTTCATCAAAATAAATATCGATACTTACAACATCGATATCGTATTCGCTCCAACATTCCGGTGTTGCCGCATTATTCTCACGGGCGACATTACATCACCCTTTGACCATATCATGGCACGCATTTAGTACTTCGACTTTTCGTGACAGCATGTCATTTTCGACATTTGATTGATAATTTTCTAAGGATCCATCAAATTTGTTTGTTTGAAAGCTAGTTTAGGCGCTAAATGTATATATTTTGTAAATAATACGTGGTTATAAGAATGTGAATTATCGGATTCCATACTTGGATGTCCTAGCTGCGTACCCCATCATGAGTTCACAGAAGTGTGTGGTTGAAGGCTGTAATTTGGAATACGATGTGGTTTGCAGCTTTTCCTTTTACAAGTGAGTAGTTTTCCCGCTTAAAATTATATAAAAATTACTATCCGCTATCTTAATAACCATATATAAAGAAAGACGCCCATTTACATTGACGCATTATGTATTTCATTGTCGTATAATAATAAAAAAATCTTATTAGATGTTCATATATCACGTAATTATTACAAAAATTGCAAAAACTGCATTAATTAATGATTATAAACATTTTAATATCGTCTAGTTATTTCTGGTGTATAAATTGGCGGCTAAATGTTCTTATCAATATAATCGCGTCACTGGCAAGTTAATAATAAAGTAACTAAACAATTTGACCAACTCAACAAATAAAATAGACAAAAATAATATGAAAAAAAACTTAATATTCTACATTTATATCAATATATATACAAGATAATACATATATGTTTTTACCACATTAATACTTAATAAGTAGAAAGCTAGAAAATTTACATAAATGAGAACTTCTTTCATATCACACATCACATTCAAATAAAATGAATCGTAAAAGAAATATTTTATATGTAGACATAAAATTAGAAATAAAACAGATTTTGATGAAACTCTATTGTTATATAGATATAATAACAGGAGAGAATTTAATTTAATATTTTACAGAATATTGTGAATAACTCCAAACATAAGCTATTACTTATATAGTAGATATAAAAAATAATAATTAGTATTATGATTTAATTGTCAATATATATCCACTGAAACTTATATTGTATAGAAAATATATGATATAGTGTTTACAGTATGATATAATATGTACACAATAAAATTTATATATGTTGAGAGACCAATAAGTAACAAATATATATATTTGGTCCTGTATATATGTAATTCATTATTAAATTAATTAAAAAATATATATATGTATAAGGAGAATATTTGCTTTTAACAAGACAACACCGATTGCCTATTTTCACTTGATTCGGTAACTGTTTTGTATTTAATCTTTAAACTATAAAGTTCTATTCATATTACATAAGAGATTCGTACAAATTATTAATGTACACAATAATTATATTTGTACATAAAAGCATTTAATGAAATTTATGTATATACTGTGATTTGTATTTAAAATATGTCATTTTTGTAACAAAACATTTCTGAAGGTTAAATTTATCCTCCATTTTTTTAAGACATATTTATTAATTAACCAAAAAATGAGTTTATTTTCTTATATTTAATATTATTACTTAAGAAATTATTTTTCCTTGTAATAGAAAATCAAGTAGAAAATGTTACGCCAAGATCAATTCTTAAATTTATACCTATGAGCAAAAATTTAGTATCAAAATATTCAAATACATTGACACTTAAATATATATGTATTGACGATGTTTTAAACTTATTTTATATAAATAATAACAAAATAATACTTCAGAAATATAAACATTGTAAGAAATCAGAAATGACACGAATTTTATGACGCGTGACAGTTGTGACATTGCAGTGACATTTATATGAGTGACGTTGTCGAGCTTTAATGATAATGACGTATAATAGATTTGACGTAAATTAATACGTGACATTGATTGAATGTATGAAGAAATTACAATAACAAAGATGGTAAAATATTTCGCGTTTTCTTAACACTACTCAAGATTTTAATTCGTAAAACAAAATGTTGATATGAAAAAAATATTCCACAATTCCAGTGCGAAAGAAAACAATTACTTGATAATCATATATTTTATTTGATAGTAAGTAATTTGTATTTAATATTTCTGATAAAGACAAACTAATTCTCTTATTAAATTGTATTTTTATATTTCTTTAATTAATAAATCTTAAATTGGTCTTCTGATATGCAATAATCTTGTACTAAATATAGCAATTTGGCAATCACATATACTATGCAGACCTACATTCAAACATATATATACATTATATATTAAAGAAAAACCCTTTATAATTTTTACATATATCTGGCCGACTGCCATATCAGTCTGTTCATTCTACCAAATCAAATACTATATCTCAAAAACTATGTACAACTATTTATAAAATTATTAAAGTTTAGTATTTAAGTCATCAGTAGAAGTTACTTATATTGTTTGAAATCATTATGGTGATGGTAGGTTTTATAATCTCTCTCTCTCTCTCTAGAAATAAGATTTAAACATATAGAAAACTAAATTAATTTACCCGATTTCAACCAAAATGTACAAAAGAATATTAAATTACAGAATTTCCAGGTTATACCAGTTCATCATTGATTTTTTTCTATTTAATTATCCATATTCCATGTTCATAAGTTTTATTCTGAGATATATCTGGAATTAACTGGAATTTTTCCATATCAATCTCATGATTGTTCCAGTGTTAACACATCAGCTTCTACCGATGAGAAGAGACAGGAATGGATTGAAGGTGCTATGCAAGAGGAGAGCGAGTGCCTCTGGAGACATGTTAGTCTACAACTGTGCGGGTAAGAATGATTATTATATAGAGTTGCATCAATTTGAGTACAGCATACAGCAAGTCAGTAGTGGCCTAGTGGTTAAAGGTCTGCCTCACATGCATGAGGGCGCAGGTTCGAAACCTGGCAAGTACCAATGTGATGTTCCAAGTCATATGTACTTTATAAGAGTATTTAAACACCACTGACAGATGAAGGAAAACATCGTGAGGAAACATGGACTTATAATTTTACAACTATATGTTTGAAATCACCAACCCGTCTTGAGCAAGTTTGGTGATTAATGCTCAAACCTTCTCCATGTGAGAAGAGGCAGCTCAGCAGTGTGCTCTGATAGACTGATGAATTGCATAATGTGTTCTTAGAATTAAAGTGTTTGATTAAAATGACTTCTATTTTTTGTATTTAATTTTGACTATGGCATGGTATTATTGTATACATTTGGCTTTAAATGCAAAGAAATAATTATGCATTTAAAAATCAGTAACAATTTGAACCTAAAATCTCTAGAATATTCCGTCCAATATATTTTACCTATTAATTTCTATTTTTATTTGAATTTTATTCAATATATATATATATATAAGATTTTATATATTATTATCTCCAGGTATCATTTCGAACTGGACGCACAAGGTCTTTGGATCGACTCGCCAATGTTACCTGAGCTGTTGACACCTCAAGAAACTGTAGCCCCTATACAACAGACAGCCGCGGATAAGAAAGGTAATTAACTTAATAAAATTAAAATTATATATAATTTTATATGTTAAGATGTATATAAATGTCTAATTATACATATACACTTGATAAACTATATAGAAATAGAAATGTCCCAGTTTCTTTACCAATTATGCTAATATGTCATTTTGTATTCAAAGAATAACATATTATGTGTATAATATATGAACCAACAGTCAGCGCCATCTATCGCTTGTCGTTACTTCATACAATACATCTGTTATGAAGTGTCCCCTGGAACTACACGGACTGAACGATACATTATATACTATGTGTTATTATAATGTATGACATATATTATTGTGAAGTTTTATCAAAATCCGTTGAACAGTAATAGTATATATATTAATTAATATCTTTTTATTCAGTGGCAGACATAATCAGAGTTGAACATAACTACAGCGTGGAACCAATCAAAGAAATACATGAGAGTGTGTCCCGACTGAATGTTAGGCAACTTGTAGATACATTGGGATATCTGTGAGTATATAAATATATATTATTATTATTATATCCTTTATTGCACTAAAACAAGACAGAAAATAACATAATAGAAAAAACATACAAAAAGGCGGACTTATCTCTAAAAGAGATCTCTTGCAGTCAACATTTATAATATATAGATATAATATATAAATAATGACAAACATATACATATGTTTGTCTTTGATTTGAAACTCAGTAACTATTCTGTAAAGGAATCATTATGAACAGATATTATTAGAAACAGTTATACATATATGTGGAAAGAGGGTTTTAATTGTATGTTTTTTTTTTTTAATTATTTTGTACTAATTGGTATTTTTATTAGTTATTCTACATTTTACTGTCACAACAATAGAGAAATCAAATAGAGAAAAAGGAGAAATTTTCTAAATAAAGCTATGATATTGTATTTTCAACAATTCTCTTGTTATCCATACAATTCTCATATATAATTTAATTATAATTTGAATAAAAACATTCAAAATATATAAAAATACAGTAATTATTATATCAATTTGTATATTTTTAATTTTTTTTAATACTTAAACACATCAAAAGTAAACTTTACAATTAATTTAATTTCCAGATCATTGAAGAACTTGCAGAAGAAACAGTTGTGGGTGGTAAAGGTTGAAACAGATAAGGCTGAAGCTTCTATTGCACAATCCGAGCAAGTTATAGCCAAGATGCCCGACCCAAAACAGATTATAGAGGTTAGTGAACTATATTATATATCTTCTTCTGCTATATATATAATTATGAATTGCTGTTCGTTAGTTTCAATAAAACTCTAGAATGGCTGAAAGGATTTATCTTATCTTAGTCTTAAAATGTTCGTGGAGGTTCAGGGAAGGTTTAAAAGCTGAATTTTTTTTATTAATTTCCGTGAAAACCCTAAAAACAGTGCTTTTTTATTTCCCATGCAAACGGTTTTTTTTTTGACATTAGATTTGACAACTAACTAATATGTCAATCATTCTGTCGCACTTTAGAACACGGATTATTATAGCTTATAGGTAAACTGCAAAAAAAGAAAAAAATATTTATCGATTGAGGCAGTACGAATCTGCAAGGTATAAACTAGATGACCCGGTGATCTTCGTAGCGCCCTATAGTCAAGAAATATCTGTTACCTTTTCATCTGAATGAAGTTAATTTCTTTATTATGTACAGCTGACTCGACAGACAATGTTCTGTCTTCTTAACTGTGATTATTGAATTCTAATTGGTATATTAATAAATCAAAATTATTCCAAAAATAAAGTGTTTATTATTCTAACTGAATATTACAGCCAGTGACACATTATTTTAATAAAAAAGTGAAATATTCTAGTTCTTTTTAGTGATTTTTTACATAAGAACCTTCTAATAAAAACAAATACAACAAATAAGAGAATAAGTGAAATCGGTCCAGTCATTCACCCGTGATGCTGTGACCAAGGGAAAATGGGATTAATTTTTATATATATATAGATAAATATATAATATATATACACAAGTAGATTAGGTTAATTATTGTTTAACAATACTGAGAAAGTAAAACTAAAACATTGTTGTGTGATTCCAGATTGTCCCTCAAACATCAACAGTTGAACCGCAGAATGAGGTGCTCCATATAATGGAAGACGGCAATATATCAGATAACTTTATATATGAGATAGCTGAGGAACAGGAAATAACTATGGAAGAGGTCAAAGAAATACCCATCACTGAGAACAGGGAGTGGATGGTCAATATAATACCCGAAGAAACAAAACCCAAGTACGCATACATCAAGCATTGCAACAGCGGCAAGAAGAAGAGACATTTCACAGCTGAAATGAATGAAATTACACTACAGGGTGACTATGAGAACTATTACATACTACCAGACATAGACCCATCAGTGGGAGTGGAGATTACAACCACATATGAACCGGAGAACTTTATAGTCGAGGAATACCCACACTTAGTGCTCGAGGAACGACCGAGAAAGAGATCCAAGGATACTGACCCGAGAAAAAGGAAAAAGAAAATATCAACACCATCGGTTAGAGAACAGATTAAACAAATCAAGACAGAAATCAAACCCGAGATAGAAGAAGATTGGGTGATTGATAACAGTGTGTACGACCAAGACACAAGCGATGACTATGATGATAAGAAAGCTGCTCGGGTTAGAAGAAAAAACAAAAAATACCTCGGATATGACTTTGTAACATAAACAATCATTATATATACATGTTATCGGAGTGAATCGTCTGCCTTAGACCGTTGTTAGTATAAGAAACGTTTTAATGTATTTTCTTTTTCTTTCAATTAATGAGTAACATTGTTTTCTTTTCTATATAAAGTTGGTAGTTCAGGAATCATGTATAGCGACGCTATATGATGTTTTGTCTAACGGTAAATAAATATGTTTAAAATTATATTTCATGTGTTATTTTATTTTTTGTTTCATTTTATTATAGTGTATTTAAATAATTAAGACTTTTATTGACGTATGGAGTTATCTTGTTCTACCTGGCAATTTCCCAGCTTCAGCCAGGGTCAGCCTTACATGTTGTGAATAGTTTTGGCTAATTGTTTTTACTACCGGCCGCCTGCCTGACATCAACCCTCTTTGATATATGGAGTTATATTATTGTGAAAACGGGGAATGGAACATTATTTTTATATCTACGGTTCCACGATTAATGTACAGCAGTTTCTTACAATTATAACACGTAACTTCACCTTTTGCAGGTCCAGGTTTTGCAGGTCATAATTTACTCTCCTTTGTCTTAATCATCCCTTATTCATTTAAAGTTTGTTGTAAAATGTCAGTAAATAATATAAATGCTCGTCTATTTCATATTCGTATCATTTTTGTTCTTTCATTATTTCAGTCCACCTGTGTGACCTAAATTGCTCACTAAAACCATTTATCCAAAAATGTGAGCCATGTTTTAAAAACATTTTAATACACTAGTTTAACTTGAAATAAAATAAATCCTAATGGATTCTGATAACTCAGAACGTCCTATTAATTATAAATAATGAATAGTTGTAGTGATTCTTATTTAAGTATATTATAAAGTTCCCGCAACAGGTGGCTTTTTAGAATCTTTAATTTCCTTTCCCTATTCTCAATCTCACGCGAACCGAATATTTTTATATCCGTAACTAAGTTAGTAAGTGAATCGTGGTTATTTCTCAACAATTCGGACCTAAAGTATTCTGTATATACTCAACTACGGCGCTTGCTCCAGACAAACTATAAAAAGTTTCTTGGAGTGCCGTTCAGCCCAGTACCACTAATATTACCCTCTTCTTGTCTGAGCTAATAATATCAGCCGCTTCCAAATATTACGTATATCTTACGTTACGTATATTTTACGTGTTCGCCTCCATTTTTTCCGTTTTAAACCGACCGATGGCGCTATCGCCTGCAAGGTCCAATTTCTCGGGTGGTGGTAGTTGATTTGCAATGATGGGTCATATTAAGGCAACTTGAAAATATATGAATCCTAATGACATTCAAAATACTTTCAATTTAATGAAAGTTTTATCTTTTAAATACAATTTAAAGAAAAATTTTATCAAAATACTTTTAATTTAATGAAAATCTAATTTTATTAAATTTAATTCAATGAATTTATTTTTCCAAGCACTTAAATGTATAGACGAATACATACATACATTTTCAATTTAATGAAAATCCTACTCCAAAGTTTCGTTTTATTTTAACGGACACTCATAAACAACTATCCATCTCTAATTAATGGAAATCCAAATTGCAATAAATGTAATTAATTTTGATATATATACACATATCATCAATTTAATGGAAAACTAATTGAGAACAAAATATTCTTTTAACCAAATACTATAACAATATTATTTTACTTACTTAATACTTATAAATATATTTACTGCACAGTTTCATTTCAATAATTTTTAATAATAAGCTAAATTAAATATTGAAACTATTCATAAAATTGTTTTTATGTTGCATTTGATATAATTTTATATTAGCTGCGGTTTAGCAACATTGACATTTCTATAAGTCAGTTTAGAATATTCTAGACTAGCTATGACTCTGGCGTGACTCGGTAAACTTGTTGTACTTAGCTTACTTAACCTTGACTCTTTTGATAATTAATTTGTGAAAACGAATTAATTATTATTCTGGTGCTATAATCTGGTCCCCACACTAATTATACCCGATTAATATTATTATTAAATTTAAAGGAACTTTATTCCTTTTAGCTATGTCCCATCCTCTTTTATTCTCTTTCTACAAATACTCATTCTCTTCTCCCCTCCACGATCAATACAAGTTCTTTTTATTTTTGATAAAATTTAGTTCGCATTTTTTAATCGCACTACGGTTCCAGCAACTTCTAGATTCTAGATTAATACATATATTCTACCAATATTTTAATTGCGAAAGTTTGTGAGTGTGTGTATGTCTGTTACATCTTCAGGTTCAAACGGCTGAACCGATTTTGGTAAAATTTTTGTATACAGGAAGCTTACGTCCAGGAATGACCCATAGGCTATTTTACATCCCGGAAATCCGCGGGGCGCAGCTAGTTAATAATAAAACACAATTTAGAAATATATTTTAATCTCCACATTACAATACATCAATAATCAGCCGCCGTGTTAGCGAGGTAATCCCTTCTGCCTATATTTGAGGCTTGTTTATTCTGGACAGCCTCTAGTTTAGGGCACTCAGTAATTCTATGTCCCAGGCCCCCACAATACGCGCAACCGGGCCCTCCAGATAAGGGGCCATCCTCTCCTATCATTTCTAATAGGAATTGAGGAACTTTTTGCCCAGCTTCGACCAGTAAATGGGCTAAATCTCGTAAAACGCTAGAATCTGCCGCCCGCCCTAGTAATGTACTCGCCACTCCTTGTGTCCCCGCTCGCCCAGTACGACCTATTCTATGGACGTAGTTCTCAATATCTTCGGGCATGTCGTAGTTTATTACGTGTTGGATGTTCTCGAAATCAAGACCTGGAATAAAATATATATAAGTACATACTAAGTTAGTTTCTAAAGCTGCTAGTGTCACTCTAAATTCTTTCTATAACATATATATTTTTTGCTAACTTAGTCTCTATAGCAACGGTATTTGGTGCCATTTATAAAGCTTATTACAAATCTTTATTATGCAATACATATAAGTACATACTAAATTTATTTTTAAAGCTACTAATTTCGCTCTAAATTCTTTCTATAACATATATATATTTTTGCTAACTTAGTCTATATCAACTGTCTATCTCATACACAGATTACGTTATAAATTCTATTATAACAAAAATTAATAGACATTTCCTGCAAAAAAAAACTATTACGTCTAGAAAAGAAACAATGACAGGCAATAAGCTAACTAAATACACTATGCACTTGCAAAAAAGAAACATTGTTGTCACAATTTAAATAGTATAATTCCTACCAAAAAAAATTACGTCCAAAAAAAGCAAATTACCTTTACTGGCAACATCAGTAGCTACAAGCACATCTTTTTCCCCTCTCCTAAAAGCTTCTACGGCGCGGGATCTTTCCTCCTGGTCTTTGCCACCATGTATAGCCACTGCCTCAACTCCTTTCAATAATAAGTACTCATGTATTGCATCCACATGTTGTTTTCTTTCAGCGAATACCAGAACTGGTGGTGGAGTTTTTTGTAGACATTGTAGTAGATGTACGGTTCGAGCCTCGGCTTTAACAGGTTCTAGCTCTTGTCGAACCGCTAACGCCGCGGCGCCCGCGCGACCCACGTTCAATGTGACCGGTTGGACCAACGCTGATCTTGAAATTTTTATGAAAAAAATAAAAAATACTTTATTACCAGCAATAACACAATGGTAAACAAAAAAAAATAAAAAAATTATTGACTATTCTTCTTCTAATTCAAAGTTTTCCTAAGTTTACATAATATTTTTTTATTTTTACGTAGTATTTTTGTGTTATATTTAAATTAGTGTGTAAACTTTTTTAATTGTGCACTGTTTGTATTTGGTAAATGTTATGTACACTTATCATTGACGTACATATCTGATGCTGTAATATAGTCACCTTCCTTAACTGTAAATTTTCAATATGTATGTTGTAAGTGTTATTTATGATTAACTATAACAAGTTTCACCTACGGTAGATGGCGTGTTCTTTATAAAGACGTTACAAATGGACCAAAAGTATTAAATCTTAAATATAGAAAGAATAAGATACAAAAATAAGTAAATAAAATGGAATAACATAAATACACATATAATAAAGTAAATATACAAGTTATTAATATAATTATCATGAATCTGAGATCACGTTTGTACGATAAGAATTTTTTCTGTATTTTCATAAGACAATGATATTAGCCAATTATGGAGAACCTGTTTAGCTTCATTGGAATTCATTTCAATTATAAGAACATTCACTCATATATGGATGATGTATGGTATTTTTCTTTGGCAAGTAGTTTTAATAGAGACTTCCAAGAGAGTAAGTTCTTTGTATGATTAGGGACATAATGGTGAATGATGATTGTTTAATGATAATTTTATTGATCTTAATATATAATGGTTATTTGATGTTATTTGTCTTTGGGATTTAAATTTAAATAGACTTCCAAGAGAATAGTTGAAATGATTTTAGTATTAAAAAAAGATTTAATAATTGCTATTTATTATATAGAGATAAACAAATTTTGGTTCTTTAATTTAGGAGATCAAATGAAACTAGGCATGGCAAGTAGAAAATTGACAAAAGAGAAATTTCGACTAAAAAGAAATGAGTTTTGTTACATTATTCAGAATTCTGCCATCAATGAAACTAAATATATCTAACCTATAGGACATTATTGTCACAAATGGCGCCATCTGTGCAATACTAATTATAATAAACTATAATCCTTACAATTATTATTATGAGTGATTATAATTGTCATAATACTGAAGCATTGCCACTTTATGGCAAAATTTAAATATACTTGTATTTGATATATAAATACTGGTTTTAGCCATTTTATAAACATTACTTTTACCGAACATTAATAATCTAGTTTTAAACTGTATCTAGAACAAAATACATCTGGCATTACCTGGCGAAGTTCTGTATTTTTTTAGGCATGGTGGCGCTGAACAGTAGTGTCTGTCGCTGGCCCGCGAAGTATGAGAAGATTGTACGGACGTCTTCTTCGAAGCCCATGTCTATCATACGATCAGCTTCATCCATACACAAGTAGCGACAAACATTCAGACGAACCTGTATATATATAAGGTTTTTTTAGATTTAGAGATGATTTATTTCAAAGAACAAAGTACACTTACATAGGAAACTTAAACTAGTAACATAATAATAAACATTTATAAAGTTTGACAGTATGTTTTTAATTTAGCCTTAAATTTCAAAAAAAGATTTTTCGTTAAATATTTCTTTCGGTAGATTATTGGACATTAGCGCTCCCTCAAATTGTATAGTTTTGTTACCATAATGTTTAGTTCTAGACTTAGGTATTTGTAATTGATGTATATTTCGTGTATAGTATTTATGTGATTTAGTCTTTAAAGTAGTTTGTGTGTGTATAGATCCTGAGAGAATTTTTCTTATAAGTATGCATGTTTTGTATTTGTATAATTGTCCAATAGATAGTGTATCAGTAAATATATATACATATATGTATGTGTGTGTGTAACTTTGCGTATACACATACATATATATATGCAAAGTTCGTGGGGGTATCTGCAAGTATATTGCTCTCTAACACAAAATATACTGAACTGATTTTGATGAAATTCTATAGTGACGTACATTAGTTAATAGATATCTGAATAAGATAAAAATTTGCTATAATTTTTAAGGAACAGATCATAGAAATCATGATTAGTATTGTGTCATGTGTCTGTTTACTGTTCTAAATCTTACTTTCTTACTTCTCTTCTATATTTTCTAAACCAACACCAAAATTTGTCACAATCTCAATTATTTATCTAATTTTCAGATAATTATAACTATTGATTACCCATGCATACTCTTATATCAAAACTACATAACTGAAAAGTTTCATACATATCAGTATATCAGTCATCTTTTCATGTATGACCAAACACATATGTATCTCTTATTGTTACTACATAACTGAAGAGTTTCATCAGTTTATGTCCATCAGTTATTATACTCACCATCTTCTTATCCAACATATCCATTAACCTCCCAGGTGTAGCGACCATGATGTGTACTCCTCTTTGAACAACCTCCATACACTCAGACACGGATACACCTGGAATTAAATAATGGAAAATTACCTGGAATTCTGATAAGACTATATCTCTTTATAATAATGTTATGTTAACTAGCTTTGCCTGGTAAGTAGATGTATATATGTATGTATATTTGTATTAAATGTCCTATTATTTTCATTATATTTGGACAACAATTAACCTACTAAAAGACTTGGGCTTGTCCAGCACTCACATTAATACATTCTTGGAACGTACATCGAAGGCAGCCCTAGTAGGTACTTTTCAAATTTGGTAGAGAGAGGAGCTTGTACGGTGGAGGTGAGCGTTTAACGCGTTAGATAGAGTCCCTTAAACCTACACCTGGGTCACAAGTACCAGTCACTGTTGAAGCTCCTCTCACTACAACGATGGACCCGACACACACACCGTGAATACATTGAATGAGAGGTTTCGTCTCATGATGTCTATACTCACCACCAATCGCCAGACAGCTTCTTATTTCCGGATGTCCCGCCATTTTGAGATGTTTAACGAAATGCATTATTATATCATGCGTCTGTTTAGCGAGCTCTCGAGACGGGCAGATTATGAGGCCGTAGGGACCTTCGTTTCTGGAAATTGAGGAAAAAATTATAGATTAATAGTGTCATAAGAAAAACATGTGAAAAAATCATTGTAAGAACACAAAAATTGGAAATAGTGTTAGTATTCAACCATGAATTGAAATGATTACTTTCTATATCTTTATATATATAATTCTTCTGTGAGTGTGTGTGTCACTGAACTTCTCTCAAACGACTGGACCGATTTTGATGAAATTTTTTGTGTGTGTTCAAGGGGATCTGGGAATGGTTTAGATTCTCAATTTGGTCCGCTGGACAATGTTTTTTTAATTAATGTTTAATTTATTAGTAGTTGTTGATACAAACTTTTTTTTTACATTAGATTTGACAACTAACTAATATGTCAATCATTCTGTGGCACTTCAAAACACGGAGATTTATGGCTTTAATAGGTAAACTAGAAAATTATAAATAAATAAAACGTAACAGATATTTCTTTATTATAGGGCGATACGAAGTCCGCCGGGTCTTCTACATAGTATAAATATGTTAATATGCCAATTAATTATTATATGATGAGTGGTATATTGGCGTACTATTTACCTGATGAAAGGCATCTCAATCTCCTGTTCCAGACACATCATGATGATGGGTAGCGTGAACACCAGCGTCTTTCCGGAGCCGGTGAATGCTATACCTATCATGTCACGACCGCTCAGTACCGCGGGAATACCTTGAACTTGAATCGGTGTGGGTTTCTTTATGCCTTTCGCCTCCAGACCTTGGAGAATACCTGAATTATGGGTACTTATTAACCGATACAGAAGATAGAGGTATTGTATTTTTCCAAAAGAAATTTTGAGTTGAAAATTCGTTGAAACTAGCTGAACTGCTTTGAAAACGAAGGTATTCTTTAACAGATTTACGCAATGAATCAATTTTTTGGCAAAAATGTTGAATTTTATGTATTTTTTTGCAAAACTATGGCAATTTGGCAACTTTGAAGAAGTTATGTTAAAACAAACCTTTAGGAAACTTCATATGTCTGAACGTCCTTATGGGCGGAGGTACATTTTCTCCTTCCACTTGTATTCTGAGTTCTCTCCTCACTCTCTCGTGGCGTTCAGGAGGCAAGGAACTGATACATGCGGGGGGTTTCCACGATGTCTTTATAGGTTCAGAGTATTGAATACCTAGGATAATAATTATATATTATTATCTTCCTGGCAATTTCCCAGCTTTAGCCAGGGTCTGGCTTATATGTTGTGAATAGTTATGGGCCATGACATAAGCCATAACTTATGGCTTATGTTTTTACGATCGCCTGCCTGACATCAACCCTCTTTGAGAATGCATTAATCAGTGATGTCTAAATACTCTTAGAAAGTACATACGACTCGGAAACAACACATTGTTACTTGCCATGGTAATTATTATATATTACTAGCTGACCCGGCGAACTTCGTACCGCCTTATAATCAAGAAATATATGTTAGTTTTTATTTAGGGTTGTATGTATTTTTGTAGGCTGTGTCATAAAAAAATAAAAAAAAAAATGTTGCCAAAAAATTAAAGTTTGTAATTACCAAATAAAAAATAGGGGTTGATCGTAGAGGGGTGAAAAATTTAGAGTAATATTAGATTTTTTATTGTAAGTCATCAAAAAATAAAAAAAAAATTGCCAAAAAAATTAAAGTTTTTAATTAACAAATAAAAAATAAGGGTTGATCTCAGAGGGGTGAAAATGTAGGGTTGTATGTATTTTTGTAGGCTGTATCATAAAAAAATAAAAACAAAAAATTTTGCCTAAAAAATAAAAACAAAAATTTAGGGGTGGACTACCCTTAACATTTAGGGGGATGAAAAATAGATGTTGGCCGATTCTCCCCCCTGGTTAGTATCCTCGATAAGGATCACGAAAATCGTTCGAGCCGTTTCGGAGGAGTTCAAGTTCGAACACCGTGACACGAGGATTTTATATATTAGATTATCAAATATGAGGCATATATTTTTTATTATGTACTACATGTTTGTAAAAAGCAATGTATGGTCTCATTCAAGGTTTTGGAGGAATTAAGTAGAATGAAGAGCTATTTATATAAGTAGGATAGTAAAATGACTGAGGATTCTGGATATAGAAGTTGGAAGAGAAGTTATAAAAGTGGTGAGAGTATTCATATTATAAATGCGAAAGTAACTCTGTCTGTCTGTTACGCTTTCACGCCTAAACCACTGAACTGATTTTAATGACATTTAGTACAGAGATAGAGTTGACCTTGAGAAAGAACATAGGATAGTTTTTATCCCAGACTTTTGAAAGGTTCTCTTGGAAACGCGATATAACCGAACTCCACGCGGGCGAAGCTGCGGGCGGAAAGCTAGTATTATAATAATACTGTCGTTCAATTTCCGAACATACAGCATACACAAAAATTGTCCAAAATTACTGAACGGTTTTAATTAAATTAACGAGAATATGATCTTATTATTTGTTGGAGCACATATTGCAAGCGTGATTCAAATGTATCGGAGCGACATCTGTTGAATGACTTTCAAAACTAACTAAGTATTAAATATATACTAAAAATATTACGAGAAGATGGCTTAGTTAATACCATTTTTAGGTATAAATATATTTTATTTAATACATGACTATTTAAAGCTTTATGTATTTTCATCTTTATATAACAATCTGTGCCGCGACTTTGTATATGAGAAATACATATTGTGTATTATATATATTAATAAATAAAATTATTAGATTACCTATCTATCAGTAAAATTCTTGTCAATATTGATCCATCCTCTAAAGTGTAGTAAGAATTTATTCACAAAAGAGACAAAAAATGCTAAAAATAGCTAATTCATTACATGTATTATAGATACATATGTATTAAATTAAAAGTCAGTGGTGGTCTAGTGGTTAAAAGGCCCGCCTTTCATGCATGAGGGCGCGGGTTCGATCCTGGCAAGTACCAATGTGATGTTCCCGAGTCATATGTACTTTCGGAGAGTATTTAGACATCACTGATTAATGAATTCCCAAAGAGCCTTAATGTCAGGTAGGAAGCCGGTCGTAAAAACGATTAGCTAAAACTATTCACAACATGTAAGGCAGACCCTGGCTAAGGTTGGGAAATTGCCAGGAAGAAGAATATATTTATATAATCAAAAATATTATATACATCATCGGCAAGATATAAGAATATTAGTTAAATTATTATAAGTTCTGGAACCAGTGAATGCTTTCACTCTTGTATAATAATAAAATAGTAGAGATTAAAATTAATATATGCAGAGAGATATACATATTGTCGGGGAGAGTGGATATCCGTGTAACTACCATTGTATAATTCCACATATCTGTATAGAAGCAGATTATCAGAAGAAAGTTTAAGCTAAATATTTTCTATATAAACAACTTTTAAGGTCATTTTTTCACAATAAGTAATAAATTAGACACTAAATATATAAGTAAACTTCACCTTTAGCCAATTCAGCGACACCCATCAAAGCCTTGCTCTGTGCAACACTATCCAGTATATGTTCTTCTTCCTTAGCCTGCCTCTCTGCTGCGGACAGGGCCCTCGCCTCGGCCAATCTCTTCAATTCACTGTGTTGGTCGAGCAATGATACATTGTAACGTCGACCCCATTCTTCTTGTGATCCTGTTATTTATAACCAACTAATATTATAAAGTAATTTAATATATATTATTATTATATACCAAAGTTTATCTTTGCAATAATATCAGTATATGTCAAACATGAAATCTAAATAATAATTTGAACTGATTTGTAATTAAAATTCTCAATTATTTTGATGGTACATATTTAGTTTTCAGGGCTATAATACAACCTACTAAAACTTATAAGTTATATACTAATATATATATATATATATATATAACCACATAATTAACTAGTTTTTACATGTGACTTTACCTGCCTGTACTTAAGAATTAGGATCTATAAGAAATGTGTGTGTGTTAAAAATATATATATGTGAGCCAACCGTCAGCTCAGTCTATCATGAGTTGATACAACTAACTAGTGCAAAAAACTGTTATTACTTGAGTCTGTGGTAACTATCCCAATTCTGACATAAATTATATATTATTCTTATGTGTAGACAACACTACTATAAAGTTTCATCAAAATCAATTCAGTACCTTTTCTATGAAAGTGTAATATTCATACATCTATACATAGTTACATATTTATAATATTAACTGTATAATCATTACTGGTGCTTATAAAAATATTATTTCAGTTGTAATTATTCTGAAAAAATTATCCAAAACAATATTTTGTTCTATTATGGGTTCTTATAGTTATTTTTATGATTTTCACGAACTAAACATCGCGAATTGCTCTATAACAATAACCTAACTTTCGTTTTGTATAAAGTATATTCAGATTGTGGTATTTTTTCAAAGGTGTTATGAATTATATTCAACATACCCTCGTCTTCTGGGTCGTTCTCGCTGGAGCTCTTCGTTTCAGCTACCGCCTCAGCAGACAACTGGCCAAGGCGACCTAACTTTAATAACTTCTGCTTCTTCCTATCTTTTACGGGCACGTATGGTTCGTAATTATCTATATCTTCTTCAGATTCTGAAGACTTCTCTTCCCTTCTATATCGTTTAACTGGAGGATCCGACATTTTTGTCTTATAATATAATAAATAAAATTAAAGATAGCTATACATTTGTTATTGTTGTGAGTTCTCAACTGTTGTGAAATGTTGTGATTTCTGAATGACAGTTGATAATAACTTTTGACAGAGGTAGTTAAGGTGTTAACAAATAACGCATAATATAAATTAAAATTATTTTAAAATAAAACAGGATTAGAAATATTTTTTGGTTAATATATAATAATAAATCATATTAATATAGTAGAAGAATAATGAGTAACAAAACTACTGTTTCTTTAGTAAAAAAAAAATCCCATTTAAGTTCTTCTCGTGTTGGTAAACCTTAATGATATTATAAAGTTAGAATACTAAACACTCATTTTTTTAAAGAAATTAATAAATTCAATTTATTTTGTGCTTCTGAACCATTTAATTTGGGTCAAAGATTTTTCGTTATTTTTTTTCCTATCTCTTAATTAATCAGGACCTCTAAATAAGGATACAATCTCAATTTTGTTACTTTCTTAGATTATTTAAATCAAGTTTTTCAAATTAAGCTCAGTATAAACCAGTTATCTTTTTTCATGAAATCTAAGAGATACATAATATATTGTACTGCTCAGTGACATATGACCTTATTTACATATTGGGTTTGTTTGCGGAAGGATGTTGTCACTGCTCACTGTTATTACAGAACGGAACAAAATTTGTCAACGTCAAATCAAAATACCAAGTGACACGTAACTTCATATAATTAAATTACATTTTTGTGACCTCCAAATGTGAAAATTTCACCAAAAAAATTATATGTACCGTTTATTTACATCGCGACATCATGTCCGATAAAGGTTATGGTGACTGTAGTAATCGGAATGTGGTTAAAAATCCTCTTCTGTCCACCGCCGTGACTGGGCTCTCCGTCGAAGATTTGACGCATAATGCAGTCTTATTACCAGCGGTGCCCAGCCAGGAACTAATAACAAGACAAGGTTAGTGTTATTTTTATCCCTGAAAAGCATCAAAACGCGTAATTTCATGCGACCTTGATGTGAAAACGAATTTGACGTTTTTGTAAAAATTTTCGCAAAACCTCTGTCAGTTTGAATATCAATCATGTTTGATATCCTGTTTTGTAATAGGTGATATATATTAGTGTGTCGCACAGAGTTCCTGTAGATAAACGTTGTATTTGTTAATTTTTCGCGTGTGTTAGTGTTTAGTGTGTCAGTTTGTTTATGTGAAGCCAGCCATGTCTTTTTTGTACAAGTCGTATAGAAAACCGCCATTCGAGAGTGGTTTCGTACCGGATTTGAGATATTCAACCTATTATAAGAATTTCGGAAAAATCTTTAGGCAGATTGTAAGTTTAAGTTATGAAATAATTCACCTATAATTCTCTTGCATGTTGACTTCAACTTGTCATTCATCAACTAGTCTATACATTCTCGAGGAAAGTAATCAATTTATTAGTTTATCTTCTTATTATAATCATGAACCATAACATAATATACTTTCTAAGTTGTAATAATCTTTGTGCATTAAATAAGACAAAATAATTTCTACACACATTGTTATTGAATAAAATTAAGTGACATTATTAAATAATTTATCAAAATATGTCATCAAAATTTATTAACAATATAAATACATATACATTATAGTTTTAACTAATGTCCAACCGTTGCACATTCTCATTCATCTTCTATATATATAAAAAAGGATTGCTGTTCCTTAGTCTCGCTAAAACTCGAGAACAGCTGAACGGATTTATCTTATCTTAGTCTTGAAATGTTGGTGGAGGTTCAGGGAAGGTATAAAAGCTGAAAAAAATTGATTCATTACTGGGAAAACCATAAAAACAGCCCTTTTCTATTTCCCATACAAACGTTTGTTTTGACATTAGATTTGACAACTAACTAATATGTCAATTATTCTGTCGCACTTCAAAACGTAATAGATATTTCTTGATTATAGGTGATACGAAGTTCGCCAGGTCTTCTAGTAATACAATAATTAATTATATTAGTACCATACTATATTCTGTGATTTAAATACTGAATTTATAATACCAAAGTTAATTTTGAGTTAGAAGTTTCATGACTATTATGTTTTTTTTGAAGTGAAACATGTAGTACGACTTCAATAAGGTTTAGTTAAACATTCAATACTCCTGGAGGGAATAGAAATAGATGGAGCGAGAATAAATGGGTGTGTCGATAGTATATTGTAAGCAATGTTTATATAATTTGTCTTAAAATAATATGAGTTTACTATAAATTGATTTCTTGGCTTTGCTATTTTCATTTCACCATTATGAAGTTTCACTTTTTCTTCGTGGAGTGATTTCACATACTTTGTTTTTAATAGCGAGCATAGATTTATACATGACTCGATAGTTAGACATTTTATTCTAAACCATCATGATTGGGTTTAAATAGTTAAGTAATTATTATTTTCTAAGAATATAAGTTAATATTTCAAAATATGTGTAGTGGAGATTGAGTAATGACTTGACGCGAATTAAACTTCTCTTGAGTCGGTTTAAAAGTTGAGTATGAAGTTTTATCACATAAAATAGAGTCAGTTGGTTAGCCATTAATAAATTTTATTTGTTAATATTTATATATGAAATAGGAGAATTTCTATGTATTTATTTTTATGACGCATTAATGTGCTGAGGGTGAAGATAGTACTTTCTAACAGTATTTAGACACAAATGACAAACGGTGAAGGAAAACAACGTGAGGAAATCTGGACTTATAGTTTCATAATTATAAGTTTGAAATCACCAATCCGCCTTGAGCGATGGTGATTAATGCCCAAATCTTTTCCATGTGACAATGGGCTTTCTCAGCAGTGGGCTCTGATAGGATGATGATGATGAATGAAACAAAAAATAAAAATCAAAAATGCTAGAAAATTTATTAAAAAAACAGTTAGTCGATTATGGCAATACTTAATTAGAATTTTAATAATACTACCCGTATACAACTAAACTTTAACGAAAATTTTGCCAATATTAAAATATATTTTTAACTATTCAATTATAATGAAATGAGGTTTATTATTATTTTTTATTAACAAAGGCTTTGGACTTTTATAAAAAGTTATTCTATTCTTATACAAAGGTAACTAGGTTCTTACTATATAAAATTGGTAAAAATTATATATATACATATAAATATGTATATAAAATTATCTTAAAATGGAAGGAATTCAATTTTTAATTACTATCTTCCATTTCTTAGAATAGTTATATAATTAAATACTTAATTTTAATTAAAATAAGAAAGTATAAACTAAGAAATAAATAAACATCCTGTATACTAGTTTTGGAAATCAAATGGAATGTATCATTATCGTTATCATTAATGATATGATATATTTATCTTAATGTGGTAATCAAGTAATGTTTCTTGACGATCTTGATGTTGAGTAAGTCGGTAGTTCCCTTGATTCTTTCCTTCTTTTCACACAGCAGTATGTTAGTAATATAATTAGAAATATTAAAATTAATAATAATAACACTCCAAGAACGATAGCGGCTATGGTGGCTTCGTTAATGTAATCTGTAACAATAAATACACATATTATATCTTCTTCTACCTGTCAATTTCCCAGCTTCAGCCAGGGTCTGCCTTACATGTTGTGAATAGTTTTGGCTAATTGTTTTTAAGACCTGCTGCCTGCCAGACATCAACCCTCTTTTGGAATGAGAAATTATATTTTTTAAAGTAAATTATGTCATTCTTATATAAATTTTATGAAAAAAATGTCACTATGGTTCAGTTGTTAGAATGACGGCAAGTTATCAGTGATTGGAGGTTCAGATTCGACGGTTATTTAATTAAATAATTAATCCTTTAATTGCATTTTTTGATAAATAATTTCGATGTTATGATGGTAATAATTTTCTTTCGATTTCAATGAGTTGTTTTAGTACCGAATTTGAAGTTTTTTTAAGTGAAACTTCTTATGCAACTTTCAACAAAGTTGCGTTAAATAATTAACGTTCTGGGGGGAGGGTTATAAAAAGACACAGAATTAAAAGGATTGTGTGGTTCTCGACGGCATAGTCAATCACATATGACTTGTAAGCAATGTTAATGAAGTTTGTCTTCAAGAAACACTAAAGATTATTCAAAAATCAATTTCTTAGCCTTCCTTTCGAACTAAGTTTCACTTCTTAATATTTTTTTTGTTGTGACTTTTTACTTACTTGATATATCAATGGTATAAGTATTGGTGTTCCCAAAAGCGTCAACTGCGTTTACGATAACTCTTGGCGCGCAGCAGTTAGCTCTGTACGTGGCAATAATCTCATCTCTTGAACCTGATATGAAGCTCGGGTCGTATGATAGACCAGCTGGCAACGATGTTAAACGAAGAAGACCTGGAATTAGGTATATTTTAGTATTTGTCTTCTAACTTTGGTTATAAAATTATATGTATTTTTTTGTCTTTTCATATATCGTCGGGGATAGTGCAAATCTGCGTAACTACCATTGTATAATTCCGCGTATTAGAAGCAGATTATCAGAAGAAAGTTTGAGCTGAAATATTATCTATATTAACTAACTAATTACTAACTAATATTAACTAATTTACTTTTTAGGTAGTTTTTGCACAATTAGTAATAATTTAGTGTAAATTTACAGCTCAAAATTTCTTCTGATAATTTGCTTCCAATGTAGATACGCGGAATTATCCAATGGTTGTTATTCGGATTTAGAGGATTCCCGAATATGTATTATTCGTTTATGGTTTATATTCCACCTCCTACGGCGTCTCTAGCTATCACAGATGTAGACCAGACGTGCTCAGCGCAGTCGCTGCCCTGTTTTCCCAAGCATGTGCCTTGGAAGTTATGCCTGACTTCGGGGGGAGTGAGATCCCTAATGCTGTCTCCACTGCTGACCACATACACGTACGAGGATAGGGATACTTGTTCCGATTGACCTGTTGATAAATATAATTTTTATAATATGAAAAACTGACACACTTTTTCTGAGAATTTTAGTGAGTAGGGGCCTGCCCAGGCCGAGCCTCACACATCCCTTCCAAGGCCGGTTGGACGGCTCGTAAAAAGAGTTTCTGTGCGTCATAAAAAAAAAAATGCTGATAACGCAATTTTTTATAACAAAGGCCCCAAATGAGCAGACGGTCTACTTTATGGAAGGTACGTAGTAGACGGGGAAAGGGAAAGGGAATATGAGAAGGTTTCTTGCAAATCATTATGTCAAGTTGTGATTTACATGTTTTCGGGATCTGACTATTGCTGTTAGCCCTATTTACTTTGAGAGTGGGTATATCGAATTAGTCTTGCTCTCGAAATATTAGCTTGAATGTCTAGGTGGGTATGCCCGTTTCATGGCTCTATACAGGGTGACTGGTGAATTACTATCGATATTTGAGGACATGATATTTGACGATCACATATGACAAAATAAAAATTAATATAACATAAATATTAATAAACTTCTAAGTAAAGTTAACCAAAAGTTATGTAATTAATTACGCATCGTGTGAACACCCTACAGATTAGGTATACACTCACACTCACACATACGCATGTCGTGACGTGGTGTTGTATCAACACGTCGCCGCACGCGTCCACACTTGAACACTTGGAACGTGTCAACACTTTACTTATTTATACGGAAATTTTGTCAAAAATTAAGTGCCTATTTTTTTTACATAATTCGAATGAGAATCATGTACCGAGTATGCTCGTTAAATATTGATAGTAATTCACCAGTTACCCTGTATATAAATATATCTATTCTTACCATAAGCGGTGAATTTGATGAGGTCTCTTGCTCCAGCCTGGGCGTTGCTAGCTATCAATAAGCTTACTATGACGTTGACGGTTTGACCAGCAGCCACTGTTTGACTGTAATTATGTTTTATTGAAACAGTAGAGAGCTATGAATGTATATTAATATATGTGCTACTATTTTATACTTTAAATGGCATCGTTTTTCAACTATCGATACTTCCAGACTATGCTTTCTTTTTGAATATTGCCTTAAACGATGGCTAAATCCTGGTCTTTAGATTGAAATTTGAATATTAAGATAATTATTAAAAGAAGTCTATTTTGTACGTGAATAAAATATAATAGTGTAGTATATAAAATAACTTACGATTCTGGATTGATACCGGTCAGAAACCTCAATTCACCAACAGCACCGAAACGATAGAAAACCGAAGTGTCCCTCAAATTAGTGACTTCGAAATGAAGCTGGAAGATGAGAATATTTTAAAACTAGCTTTCCGCCCGCAGCTTCGCCCGCTTGGAGTTCGGTTATATCGCGTTTCCAAGAGAACTTTTTAAAAGTCTGGGATAAAAACTATCCTATGTTCTTTCTCAAGGTCAACTCTATGTCTGTACCAAATGTCATTAAAATCAGTTCAGTGGTTTAGGCGTGAAAGCGTAACAGACAGACAGACAGGAGTCACTTTCGTATTTATAATATTAGTAGGGATGACTTGTTTGTTGCTTTTCTTATAATAAAATTAAGATAGACTTTAGAGATAACCAAAATATTATGGATATGTCAGGGTAGATGTAATGATTTTTACGAATGAAGCATATAGAGCATGGAGGAGTACTAATTATTAGATTAGGAATAATGATAAGTTGTAAATAAAAAGAAATTTAGGTAGAACAGTGTTTTTTACCTGTAATCTACTTTCCGGTGAACCATAAAGTCTTGAACTCAGACCGATTTGAACAGTTGTCATAGCGGGATTACGTCGTAATTGTACCTGTATAAATGATCATTAATATTGAGATTATCAAATCACAATTACCTCTGCATTTTTTATGTTCCCTGAACTTAACATTTATAAGATTTCATGGGCCATGATTGGGTTTAATCGTGAAGATACAAGAAAAACAAGACCAGAATAATTTCTATACGTGATATTAATAAACGCTTGTTTACTTAAATCATAGTGCTATATTTCGTTGTTTTATCACCTGATTCATCATTATCATCATCATCAGCCTATCAGAGCTCACTGTCGAGCAATGGCTTCATTTGTGGAGAAGGTTTGAGCATTAATCGCTACGCTAACACAAGGCGGGTTGACGATTTAAAACTTATAATTGAAATTATAAGTCCAGGTTTCCTCACGATGTTTTCCTTCATCAGTCAGTGATATCTAAATACTCTTATAAAGTACATATGACTCGGAACAATCACATTGGTACTTGCAAGGTTTCGAACCAACCCTCATGCATGAGAGGTGGGTCTTTAACGTCTATGCTACACGACTGCTGATTATAATAGTCAGCGGCTTGTGACTGCTCAATATAATCAGCTGATTTTATAGAGTTTTTAAAGCATTTATTTTAATTACCTCAGACTGAAACAGCACATCGCTCTCATTCTGTATATTCTCGTTATACGTCTTTGAGTTCATTTCCTCAGCTACTTCTAAATCATTGATGCTTTCGGGAAAGACGATGGCCGCCGATCTTCCCATTCTAACTTCAGATTCACCGTGTATAGGTCCAGCGAGTCTTGCGAAAGTTTCACCTGGAAATTTTAACATTATCCACGTTGGTTATACTGAGCTAATGAAAGCATTGGCAGAATCTAGTTGAAAGAATTTTGATTGTAAACAAAAATAAATTTACGAAGTTTTATATACAATTAAAATAGTTTTTTTGGAGTAACTGTTTTGATTTTTTCGTATTGAAATGTTGAATATAAATGTAGGTTTTATTAATGTATTTAATTAGTAAATTCAGAACATTTTAGTTGCGAGTATTTCATGTCATAAATGAAATTGATAAATTAAAATTACATCTTTGTTATAAAGGGCCTATGCTGTACAGTGTAGAATTATTTGGGACATTTGTTAATTTTGGAGCTCTTATCAGAACAGCAAGTTCAAATCTACACGTATTAATATGACTTTGAAATGAAATTCAAAGCTTTTAGACCCTATATGGATTTTGGACTATTACTGTAGAATCTTCAATAAAAAATATGTATATACTAGAAGACCCGGCGAACTTCGTATCGCCCTATAATCAAGAAATATCTGTTACGTTTTTTTATTTATATCTTTGGAGTTTACCTATTAAAGCCATAAATCTCCCGTGTTTTGAAGTGCGACAGAATGATTGACATATTAGGTAGTTGTCAAATCTAATGTCAAAAAAATAACGTTTGTATCAACAACTACTAATAAATAAAAAAATAATTAAAAAAACATTCCCAGATCCCCTTGAACACACACAAAAAATTTCATTTAAATCAGTCGGGTCATTCGAGAGAAGTTCAGTGACATACACACTCACAGAAGAATTATATATATAAAGATATACATACCTTTGAAATCTCTTCCCGCTATTTTGACATAGGCTCTGTTACCCGATACATTTGTGATCGGGACGCTGGTTAAGATGTCTGCCATTTGATTTTCAAAAGCCTCTGTTGATGGTTGATAGCTGTGGAAATAAAGTCCAATTCTGAATCTTTTTTCTGCCATTAGCACAATCATATTAATTTAAAATTATTAATTATTTCTGTCTAAACATCATCATTGTGGATCAAATTCATTTTATTATTGAAGTGAATCCTAAAAATCTGCTATTAAATTTATAAGCTGACTAGCTGACACGGCAGACTTCGTACTGCCTCAATCAAGAAGTAAATTATTTCTTAATTATTTTTTTGGAGTTTATCTTTAAGCCATAAATCTCCGTGTTCTAAAGTGCGACAGAATGATTGACAGTATTAGTTAGTTGTCAAATCTAATGTCAAAAAAACCCATTTGTATGGGAAATAGAAAAGCGCTGTTTTTAGGGTTTTTCCGGAAATTATTTTTTTTTTCAGCTTTCATACCTTCCCTGAACCTCCACGAACATTTCAAGACTAAGATAAGATAATTCCGTTCAGCTGTTCTCGAGTTTTAGCGAGACTAAGGAACAGCAATCCATTTTTATATATATAGAAGATATAGATTAACTAAAACGCATATAGTTCTTAAAATTGGGTAAAGGATTTTTGGTTCCTACCTAAATTCTAATGTCAAGAAGTTTGAAAATAATTTCGCTTACCTGAACGCCAATTTTTCGATAGTTGCTCCATATTCGTCGACAATAGACGAGTCCCTCACACTGGCTACGTTACCAGTTATTTTGATGTTCAATGAATCTGTAAAAATATGATAAAACATATTTGAATCACCTACAGTATCTTCTTCTTCTACCTAGCAATTTCCCAGCTATAGCCAGGGTCTGTCTTACATGTTGTGAATAGTTTTAGCTAATTGTTTTTACGACCGGCCGCCTGCCTGACATCAACCCTCTTTGGGAATGCATTAATCAGTGATGTCTAAATACTCTTACAGTACATATGACTCGGAAAAATCACATTGGTACTTGCCAGGATCGAACCCGCGCTCTCGTGCATGAGAGGCGGGCCTTTTTACCACTAGGACACTTATGTATAAGAGTATATTTTAATCTAAGCGTATGTCATTCAATAATGTTCATTTCATCTGATACACTATACATTGACCCTTTTATCTCACTGATAACCTCTGAATACTTCCGTGTAACATAAATGTTTTAGACAAATCACAATAGTTTTATCCGACTTGTAAAAAGGACAACATATATTTATATATTAATTCTTTATATACATATGTTCTAACATGACTTTGTTCTTTATAGACTTATTTTTGACATTCTGTAGTTTTTTTTGTATTATAGGCCCATATTTTTGAGTGTCAATAAAAGAATTCTAATTATTTATCAAGGCAATAAAAATAATTTTATATGTAAAGGTATAATTTTAAAATACCATTTAAGTATCAATTTGATATTGGACGTTATGGTTTCGTTTCGGGCCCTTTTTTCCTCTTTTAGTACACAAAGTAAACGCCCAACGATCTTGTCAACTATGTAAAATTTCGGCATAAGTAATCGAAAGATCCACATATTAAACAAACAAACAAATTATTAGACGAGATAAAGTTTAATGTTTTGACATAGTTCGATTTCTTTATTAAATTTTAAAATTAAATAGAATGGTTCAATATAATTCATTTCATTATATTGTACAGGCGTATTTTTTTATTTATCAAAAATAATGAGCACTTTTTTCTAATTATATATATGTACAAACACACTGAAGTATAATTATTTCTGCGATAATACTATCTACGTAACGGAATCAGTTTGCTATTTACATTCGTTTGATGTGTAGTGTCATAGTAATGATTTGTTATATTTTTTTTTCTTATTTTATTTAATTGTTAGTTTAGGTTGTTGTAGTGGGTCGGAGCGTCTTCTTAAGGGACGTTTTCCTCCCCCCTCTAGGGTGGATTAAGATCCCCCAAAACCAGGCCTTGTCCCTACTAGGTTGGGTATATGTAGAACACATTCCCTATTAAAAAAAATGTTGTTAGGTTAGGTTAGGTTAGGCGTATTCGTTCATTGGTTTGGTCGTAGTTATAAAGTCGAATAGTACATATCGTTTGCAAAAAATTTCTAAATATTTTTTTTAGTTATTTTAATCAAGGTCTAGATTTAAACTAGGTCATTATATAACCTTTGCGTATGAGTATGATATAGCTGTTCATTTTGTCTACTGTGCCCATGACCGAGGAATGGCGTCATCTCTAAACATCGATGGATTCTATAAGGTTGTAAGTTTTTTCTTATTACGAGTTATGTTTTTTCTTTCGACTTCACATGTATACATAATATTATTGTGTACCATTTGATATAACCAACGCAATACACATCCGTGTGTCATTTTAATGGAAATAAGTACTTGTTCTTTATCATATGTTTAATCTATTATTTATGGACTTTAATAGATGTTTGTGTTTAACCAAGCTTGCATTTATTAATGACTAGCTTTCCGCCCGCAGCTTCGCCCGCGTGGAGTTCGGTTATATCGCGTTTCCAAGAGAACCTTTCAAAAGTCTGGGATAAAAACTATCCTATGTTCTTTCTCAAGGTCAACTCTATGTCTGTACCAAATTTCATTAAAATCAGTTCAGTGGTTTAGGCGTGAAAGCGTAACAGACAGACAGACAGACAGAGTTACTTTCGTATTTATAATATTAGTAGTGATTTTATACACATATATTTCTGTTAATATTTTCTTTGTTTCTATAAAGTATATACATGTAAACTTTGTAAATTTTTACTTGTTATTCTAATCTGAATTTGATATGATTTTGAGAATTAAATCAAAATATATACAGCAATTTATTTCAAAATTCAGTGATTGATCCGTCCAAGTGTTAAGTCTTTTTTTTATTATATATTATGTATGTACATATTTGTATTGTAAAAAAAAACAACTCATGATAGTGACCCTGGCTCACTAATCATGAGAAAAATTATTGTGTACCATATTGATATCTATTTTATATATGTTTAAGAACTATTATGTCATGTATGGTTTTAATTTTGATGATTCCCCCCATTACCATTGTTGTACATGACAGAATGATTGGTGGGCAAAAAAATATATGTGTTAAAAGGAACTGTTTCTTTACAAATAGGTTTTTTTTATCCTACCGCGTCGAATAAAGGGAGGTTATGTTTAAACGTGTTTACGTATGTATGTTTGTGTTTAAGTTCGCTGTTACGGCATAACTCGGTAAAATTGGTTTATTAAGTTTTTATTTGGATAAGTATATTATAATATATAAACTAGCATAATTTCAATTTTTTTTCTTGTTTCATGTTATATTTGAGTGACAATATAGTTACTAATATTATAAATGCAAAAGTAACTCTGTCTGTCTGTCTGTCTGTTACGCTTTTACGCCTAAACATGATTTTAATGAAATTTGGTACATAGATAGAGTTGACCTTGACAAAGAACATAGGATAGTTTATATCCCAGACTTTTGAAAAGTTCTCTTGGAACCGCGATATAACCGAACTCTGCGCGGGCGAAGCTGTTGGCGGAAAGCTAGTATATACATATATGTACTTATATAAAATATTTTATTACATATAATAATTATATCTTAACGCAGTCATATTTATGACTGTTTTTTTTTACGAAATTTTGTCGAAAGTATACAAGAGACATGCTGTTGCTATTTATATTTTTTTACTGTTTCTGTGCTTTAGGTTTTTGATTAGAATTTCGACCATATATTTAGAGGATATGGTCGAAATTCTATAGGGTCTAAAATAGATTGTTCTTTAACAAGGTGGAATGACCTCATGTTTTTTGCGAATGTGTAGTAAAATGTTTTAGAGGATGTCATATTTTTTTTTACCGTCATTGGAATTCGAGAGTCTCAAAAAACTAGTCGCTTCCGACGGCTTTCCTTGCTATACATCATTATTTTTTTGGTAATTATTAAAGCACATACGAGTATGTTATTAGAGTGCTTATCTTTAATGAGAATTAATAACTGTTTGGTATAGTCTTTTAAAGTAATTAATATCTGTACTAATGAGTATATTTTTTGACATTTTATTTGGTAATCAAAGAGATATTGATTATATAATCCAAAATTTAATACGTTGCGTTTCAAAATTTTTCGCGATTGAGACAAAATATATTTAATTGTCCTATATATGGAAACAAAATATCGTTTTTGTGTTTTGTATACAAATTATTCTTCTTCTACCTGGCAATTTCCCAGCTATAGCCAGGGTCTGCCTTACATGTTGTGAAAAGTTTTTGGCTATTTGTTTTTACGACCGGCCGCCTGCCTGACATCAACCCTCTTTTGGGAATCAACATTAAATTTGTATACAAATTATTAATTATATAATAATTATTTTACCTTCACTATTAATTTCAACATCGAAATGTATGTGTGATCTAGCGCTGACTGTTAATCGGTAATCGCAAGTGGCGCACCTAACACTGAGGTGCCACATGCCGGTCATAGCTACGTCCTCACCCGCCGGCATTACCGGCAATACTGACAACCTGGAAGTAATAGTAGTTTATTTGTAGTAGAATGGTAGTTTTTTTATTTCTACCAAGGAATTTACAGGCTTTTATTAGGTTTAGAGATGATTTATATCCCACTAGAAGACCCGGCGAACTTCGTATCGCCCTATAATCAAGAAATATCTAATACATTTTTTTATTTATATTTTTGGAGTTTACCTGTAAGCCATAAATCTCCGTGTTTTGAAGTGCGACAGAATGATTGACATATTAGTTAGTTGTCAAATCTAATGTCAAAAAAAACGTTTGTATGGGAAATAGAAAAGGGCTGTTTTTATGGTTTTCCCAGTAATGAATCAATTTTTTTCAGCTTTTATACCTTCCCTGAACCTCCACGAATATTTCAAGACTAAGATAAGATAAATCCGTTCAGCTGTTCTCGAGTTTTAGCGAGACTAAGGAACAGCAATCCATTTTTATATATATAGAAGATTAAGATCAAAGTTCACTTACATAGGAAACTTAAACTAGTAACATAATAAACATTTATAAAGTTAATGGTGACCTTATTTATACAAACAATCAAATATTATAAAGTTTGACAGTACGTTTTTAATTTAGCCTTAAATTAAAAAAAAGATTTTTAGTTAAATATTTCTTTCGCTAGATTATTGTGTTTTATGTAATGATGAAGAGTATATATAGATGTTTTAGTCAAGTTATGTTTCTGATAAATTATTAAAACATTTCGATCATTTTAAATATAATTAGATGTTTTTAAATAAATTATTCGACAAAATGTAGAGGAGTTCTCTTTTGTGTCCGTAACACAAATATAGATTACGGAATAATTTCCAAACTTGTGATTTTAAATAAATTAATTTGCTAGCAGGATGTAATTTATTCCCGTAAAAGAAATATTGACGACTTCTGTTTTCGGCAATGCATATTAAACATTAATCTACGTTAGATTTTTATGTCCTCAAAGAAATTATGTCTAATGACCAAACACTATGTATATATTTAAAGAGAATACTAAAATTAATGTTACTTACATGTCTACATTCAATTTTGTTCCTGGCACCACGATATAGACTTCCTGAGGCGAAATACTTTCGATTGTTGATACTGATGAATACATCTTTACAGACGTCTCATTGTACAGGTCAATTTGAGGACCTATTGTGAAAAATAGAGTAAATTACATAAAACAGATACTTCTATTTACATTTTTGGTCGTAATCTTGACATATACAAATATTCTCTTCTTCTACCCTCATACTAGGCAAATTTGATCCGTCTATAGTCGATAAATAAAATAGAAAGTCTCATTTGAAACTAGCTTTCCCCCCGCAGCTTCGCCCGCGTGGAGTTCGGTTATATCGCGTTACCAAGAGAACCTTTCAAAAGTCTGGGATAAAACTATCCTATGTTCTTTCTCAAGGTCAACTCTATCTCTGTACCAAATTTCATTAAAATAAGTTCAGTGGTTTAGCCGTGAAAGCATAACAGACAGACAGAGTTACTTTCGCATTTATAATATTAGTAGGGATTTGAGTTTAAATAATACATAAATAAGCCAATAATTCTGTTAGATTGGTCATAGTTTCGTGAATCAATTGATACCAATGCTGCCACTAATTTAATTAAATGAACGGAAAAGCATCATTTCGTTTATTTTTGTTCGTAATTCCAAATCGTTTAACTGCAGCCTTGTATTACCAAGTAATTTGTCGTAATGGTCACAATTTGAAATATTTGCTCTGGTGGAAAGGATTTTTATGTATTTTTTAATATCTTCTTAGAAACATATGAGAAGATCTACTGTATGTATAGGAGAAGGTAATGATGTTGGTTCTCAAATTGGTCTAATATTAATATACTAGCGTTCCTCCCGCAGCTTCGCCCGCGTGGGGTTCGATGACATCGCGTTTTCAAGAGAACCTTTCAAAAATCTTTGATAAAAACTATCCTATGTTTCTGTCAAGGTCAACTCTGTCTGTACCAAATTTCATTAAAATCAGTTCAGTAGTTTAGGCGTGAAAGCGTAACAGACAGATAGACTGACAGACAGAGTTACTTTCGCATTTATAATATTAGTAGGGATTTACAATAGTACATCGATCGTTTGAAATTAGTTATTTTTCCTATTCTGTAGTCTCCAAAAATAAAGTTCTTTAAATATCTTAATATACATTGAAGATGCCATGTTTTTATTAATATTTTATTCCAAAATTTTCTTTACTTTGATGTTTTTTGTGCAGAAAATTTTTTTTTTTTTTTTTTTTTTTTTTATGGGAAAAGGGGGCAACTGAGCAGACGGCCTACTTGATGATAGGTAGTTACCGTCGCCCATGGACATCCGCAACGCAGATTTGCGGATGTGTTGCCGCCCTTGATTGGGGAAAAGGTGGGAAAGGGAGGGAAAGGAGAGGTTGGGAAAAGGGAAAGGGCAACCGGCTCTCTCACTCACCGGACGAAACGCAGTCTTTAAAGACTACTTTACGCCGATTTTCTGTGAGAGGGTGGTACTTCCCCGGTCGAGCCAGCCCATGTTCGAGCTGTAGTAAATTGACTACAGCTAGGCTCTACCACCACAAATATTTTGCTTCTTAAATATGACTGAAACTGAAGTGTATATATATATATATATATATATATATATATATATATATATATTTATTTATTTATTTATTTATTTTGTAGAACACCAACAAGAATACACACCGGGAACATTTTAGACACATGGATATAAAAAATTTGTACAGGTGGCATCTTAATTAGAGGTGAAAACAGCATGCGTATGTAAGAAAAAATAATAATAACGAAACATAACAATTAGGTAACAACAAGCAGAAGAGAAATTAAAAAATAACTAATTAACTAACAAACAATAAACTGAGACAAAAACAACAACATAAGTAAAACAATCTAACTAAACTAAACTAAATTAAACTAAACTAAACTAAGTAATTTGAGAGTATAGGGATAATAATTTGTTCTTAAATTTTCTAATGCTACCGAAAATATCCAGATCATTATCCCCGCTCAATGAATTGTAGGCACTCATAATTCTATTGAGCGGGGAGTAATGACCCAAATTAGACTTAGAAATATGCTTGGAAAAAATCGCGCGCTTGCAAGTGCGCAGTGATTTGGAAGGTGCAGATACATGAATTCTCGATAATAGGTCTGGGCAATCCAGAGCGCCATTAATCAATTTATACATGAACATGTTGTCCAACAAGCGTCTTCGATCGGCAAGGGTGTTCATTCCAAAAAAGGCCATTCGATCGTTGTAATTTGGGAGCTTTTTTGCCAAGCCGAACTTGAAGCAAAGATGCCATAGGAACCGTTTCTGGATGCTTTCTAACCTCTTGGCATAAACATCGTAGTGCGGGTTCCACACTACGCTGCCATACTCAAGTCCGCTACGGACAAAAGCGTTGTACAATGTGATCAAAGTCGAAGGATTTTTCAGATCACCACAATTGCGCAAGATGAAGCCAAGACTTTTAAATCCCTTTGAGCAAATGGAATCAATATGAGTGTGAAAACGTAATTTTTTATCGATGATGATGCCTAGGTCACGAATCTCAGACAATTCTCGTAAATAGACATTTTTAAGTCTATATGATCTTTGTGGAATGGATTTCAATCTGCTGAAACTGACCAGATGACATTTGCTAACATTGAGACTCATTCCGTTTTTGTCACACCAGTTACTTAATCGATTTAAATCGCTCTGGAGCAATTCAGCGTCGTTTGGGGAGGAGATGATACGAAGAATTTTAAGATCGTCAGCAAATAAAAAATAATTGGAATTACAGAAACAGTCGCATATGTCGTTAATAAAAATGTTAAATAATATAGGACCCAAATGAGACCCTTGCGGTACTCCAGAAAGTGTTTTAAATGGTTTAGATTCATATCCATTGACTACTATTGTGGATTCCCTATTGTCAAGGTAGGATTTGAACCAGTCGAGCAAACGACCGACGATACCATATTCGGATAACTTTTTGAGCAACAAAATATGGGGAACCTTGTCGAATGCTTTACTAAAATCAGTGTAGATGACATCAACAAGCTGGCGCGAATCGACTGCAGTGGTAACAAGGTCGGTAAAAGATATCAAATTTGTCGACGTCGATCTACGACTGAAAAAACCGTGCTGAAATGGAGTAATAACCTGTTTGAAATGCCATTCTAACACAGGATATACTATTTTCTCCAAAATTTTTGCAAATGTAACGAGAATAGAAATCGGTCTATAATTGCAGATAATTTCAGCATTTCCATTCTTTAGTAGTGGGACAATTAAAGATTTCTTCCAGGCTGACGGAAAAGTTCCTGTAGATAAAGATTTGTTAAAAATGATGGAAAGGGGATATGCTAATGCAGATGCGCATCTTTTAACAAATATTGCAGGTATACCATCTGCTCCTGCACCTTTATGGGGATCCATTCTTTTTATAACATTGAGTACCATAATTGGAGTGACACAGATGTTACAAATGTTGTTAACCGTTTTGTCACCTATCGAAATAGGCGAGTCGTGCGAGTTGGCATTATCCTCGCAGAAAACCGATTTGAAGTGTCTCGCAAATAAGTTGCAAATATCAGGGCCATTGGAAGCAGTATCATCATTCAGAGTCATTTGAGCCGGATACATACTATTATTTGTTTTTTTCTTTTTAAAAAAGGACCAGAAAAATCTTGGATTAGATCGTAAAAGAGACTCCAGACGTGTTCTATATTCCTTATAACTAGCCGACATCAAAATTGCACATCTCTTTTTTAACAGCGTAAAAGTTAATTTGTCTAAAGGATTATTGTTATAAGCGCGCAGTTTCATCCTAAATTTATATTTCTCTTTTAATGAGTTTTTTAGAGCGTAAGAGTACCAAATTGGATACTTGTTGTTTTTATTTTTATATTTAGGTACGTATTTGGAAATGATACCATGCAAGATATTGTAAAAAGCAGAAATCATGCCGTCGACTGAATTGTAGCCACACAGAATGTCATCCCAGCAAATGTTGTTGAGTTCGTTAATTATACTATCAAAGTCTGCTTTAAAGAAACAGAACCGTGCATCAGTATTGTAAGATAAGTTATTAGATGTTCTAAATGGCAACGACATTTGCAAAGGAGGATGATGCGAATCTGTTATCGAAAGTGGTAAGGAGCTAGCAATTAATTCAGTAACTTGAGTATTGCAAAGGATTAAATCCAAGCATTTGTTATAATTATTAAGGACATCATTATATTGACGAAGTGAGTTCAGCGAAATAAAGTCAATCAATTTATTGTTCATTATACTAGTGTTGTTATAAGAAATAGAGTCGAGAGACCAAGTAATATTACCCAGATTAAAATCGCCAGCAATTAAGATGTTATTGGAATTATAAATATCAAACACACGATTCGAGTTGTCAATGAATTCGTCAAGAACATGCTTTTGAAGCGGAGGAGGAAGGTATACAGCGCAAATAAGCAGAGCCACATTTGTGCCATTTTTATTCGTCACGGCAAGCGATACCCATAAATCCTCACATTTCGACTCGCAATTTAGAAGACGTTTAGAATCAATATTTGTGGATGTTGCAATAAGAACGCCTCCGCCATTCTTTTTAGGAACAAAACCAGAAGTTTCTCGATCCCTCCTATACACCACGTAGCGATGGTCAAAAAGTTCCGAATCGAAGACGCTATTGTTCAACCATGTTTCAGTCAGAATTATAATATCGAAGTCACTGCACACTACATTACAAAAAAAATCATTAGTTTTAGTCCTTAAGCCCCTAACGTTTTGATAATATATTTTTAGATTATCGAATAAAGATGATTTTAGGCCAAAACATTGTCTTATATATTTATATTTAAGCTAAGTTTTTTAAAGCTAAGGTGTCTTGTATAAAGATAAATTTGGTACCATCAGATTTACGCATAAATATTCTACCGTTTCGCACCCATACATATCTGTAGGAGAGTTCCTTGGCTTTAAGTCTTGCAGCGGCATGAAGAGCCCTGTTTTCCGGAGTCAAATTATCAACAACGTAAATTGAAGATTTTTTCTCGTCGGCTATACCTAAATGGCTCGTGTTCAATTTTTCCTTCGGATTTTTCTTATTATAAGTCAGTGACGCAGCCATGAAGTTATCACGTAGGCGGGGGCTACTAAAGCGGACAAGAATAGAACGAGGGCGAGGAGAATTGCTGTTCATTTTGGCGATACGTGAGCTGTAATAAACATCCTCATCTTTAATTGGGCAGTTGATCGTTTTACCCAGTTGTTGAACTAGCTTTAGAATATTTTCGCTGCGATGCTCCGGAACACACTGGATTTCAATGTTACAGGCACGGGATTGCTGGTCTATTTGTCGAAGACGTAGTGATATATCGCGAGTAGAAGTGCGAAGCATTTCATTTTCTTTGTGTAGATCCGCTAAGTATTTTTTCTGTGTATCCATGTCCTTTTTTATTGTATCATATTCATTACTTAGAAAGCTTAATGATTGATCAAAAACAGAAATTTGGTTTTTGATTTCCAATAATTGACTATTGAGAGCAGAGCGTAATTCATCCCGTATAATTTCACGAATACTGTCGGCGGAAATACATGAGCAGTTAGTGGAGGACTTCGACTTAGTGCGTAGAGTAACGTTTTCATATACCTGAGCACTACTGAGAGTGGGAGTAGAACGGATCGGTGTGTTAGTGTTGTCTCTCTTAGGTTCCTTACAACGGCACGACGGACATATCCACATTGCCTTGAATTCGCTAGAGAAAGTATCAAATTTAGTAGTCGATATATTGAGGCAACCGTAATGATACTTATCAAAACATCGCGAGCAATGCATTGCGTCATCCTCTTTTAAATCGTGCGTACAACCAGAACATTTGCTTAAAGGCATTTTTGCTAATTATTATAATACAAAAAACATGTAAATATATTTTCGCCGTGGCTGGGGATCGAACTCGGTTTCGTCGCTGGTTTACGCCGACTTGAAACCTCAAGACCAAGTGATCGTTAAGTCTGCGTGCGAATTTTACAAGTATATGGTGCTAGTGATCCCCAGCTGTTAGGAGGTCAACGACCGGGAACAAAGAACGTCAACGTTAACAACTAACGAGTTGTGATCACCGCCACATTACACTAAACAATTATATTTAATTTAGACCTATCGTATCATTATTTGTTGTAGTTCGGATTCCAAACTGTTCACTGTTCTATAATTATTCACTATTGAACGATAAAGATGACAAATATCTATGAAAACTGAGCACTAATCACATTTGTAGGAGACGACTAGATACACTTTTGATTATTGTTTCACACTTTCGTATTAAACTTATACAAACAATAATGTTTTTATGTAGTTCACACACTAACTTTATTATTTACACATATCTACGATTTATAACTTCAAAACACAGTCTTTATATTTTTAAAACAAATTATTTAACGGAGCAATGTAGTTCCGTGCGCTTACGTTACGTTCCGTTTTTTTTATTTTAATATATATATATATATATATATTTGTTTCGTCTTACCATCATTGGGTGGGTATAATACTGCGTGATCAATCGCTCCTTCCAGCAGAAGACGTAGTACTGTTACTCCTGTTTCAACTGGTATACCCAATGTAAGGGCTTCTGCTCTTCCACGTCTAACCAACAGGGTCTGATGATGAAGAAGACGCAAGAGAATGTAGAGGATATATCAAGATATAATCGTAGTTATCATTATAAAATTCTTTTACGAGAATACATCTAATAAAAATAATGAGAGGTTATTGTAAGTGCATTTTGATAAAATAAAATTTATGGGGTTTGCCAGGAAGTTTAAGACCTATTAACCCAAATTAGGGAACTTCTGTGAACCATAAAAAGACTTTCTATGCTTGTAGGGCCCAAGAAAATTATAGGAAGTAGCCGTTACTTGTGGATATTTTTTCATATCACTTACATCAAAGTTTTCCATATACGGATGGTTATTTATCCTAGCTCGTCTTGCTTGATTTGATGAAACTGGCTCCCATGGTTGGAGTTCAACTTCTGATGCCAGATTGGAGTGGTCTTCATCCTGCAAACAAAATTATCATCAGAATTTGTTCCTCAAGACATAATTTTGGTTATTTTTGCTTCCTCATGTATACCTCAGCTGTTTTTGGTCTATATATTATAAATATTTTCATTTTAAATTGTTTGGATGAACCTATATTCTTCTTACAATACTTCATTTGTTTCAATAGTTCTTACCATAACTTGCAATGAATATGCCAGTACTTCGCCCTCCGTGTGTGAGGAGATGTTCCTCAAGTCCTGGAGAGCCAGCTCCGATTCGACCGATGGATGATTAGGATCTGTCCATATAGTGTATACCTGGGAAATTAATTCCAAGAATTAATGATACCTATTCTTATTTTGGGCAATTTCTTCCATCACTGATGAGTTACCTTCAATCTTTTCTCAACTAAAGCCCTCAATGCTAACGGAAGTCTCTGTGGATCACCAGCTCCTTTGTCAGTCACCAGGAAGAGAGCGCTGTCGTATGGCACAAGCTTCGCAGCTGAAGCCAATGCCCTCATGGTACCATCGTTTGAACTATCAGTGTATACGTCCTAGACAAGACCAATGGTTAAAAGAATGTTAGTTGAAAGGTTTTTCATTCCTATTAATATTATAAATGCGAAAGTAACTCTGTCTGTCTGTCTGTTACGCTTTCACGTCCAAACCACTGAACTGATTTTAATGAAATTTGGTATAGAGATAGAGTTGACCTTGAGAAAGAACATAGGATAGTTTTTATCCCAGACTTTTTAAAGGTTCTCTTGGAAACGCGATATAACCGAACTCCAAGCGGGCGAAGATGCGGGCAAAGCTAGTTGTATGATATATCGAAGTCATTGTTGTAAAACGTTCTTCTAAGCGATAGTCCCTTACACTGATCTCAAGCTAGATTCACTGGTATATCTATTCACCATGCTATAAAGACGAACATTTTAACTGGCGCCTGTCAAACTTTTATGTTTAATAGTCATCAGCCTATCAGAGCCCACTGCTGAGCCTCTTTCTCACATGGAGAAGGTTTGAGCATTAATCACCACGCTTGCTCAAGACGGGTTAGGATTTCAAACTTATAATTGTGAAACTATAAGTCCTGTGTTCCTCACGATGTTTTCCTTCACCGTATGTCAGTGATGTCTAAATACTTTCAGAAAGGACATATGACTCCGAAAAATCACATTGTTACTTGCCAGGATTAAACCCGCGCCCTCGGCAACCAGAGGCGGCCCTTTAAACCACAAGGCCACTACTGACTTGTTTAATGGTTTTTTAAAATTTTAATCCAATTTTATTTGATGATTTCAGTTTTTGTTTTATCACTGATTTGTATATTTTTGAAGTTTTTGTTAAATTATATTATAGATTACATTTTCTTTTGTTTACGGATAGATTTCAACAGGTTTAGCCTTCGCAGGAGATATTATATTTAATGTTTTCTATACTTTATTCACCTGTGACTTTGCTTGTCTAATTTAGGCTAATTGTGGTTTTTATTTATACTACTTATTTTTTGTAAGTCTGAGTACTTTTTAAATAGGTCCAATTTTTCGGGCAGACCGAATATATAAACAGACTGACAGATATTTTTTTAATCATATATTTTTTTCCAATAATTTGATAATCCCTCTGCATGTATGATACGCTAAGTGTATTCTATTTGGCAATGCAAACGAATACTGGATTTTAAACTTGTGTGTAAATATGAATTGTGCTGCAAAAACCCAGAAATAATTTTCCTACGTTTATATTATTTAAATTTATTATTATTCCGGTGTAACTAATTTTGGTATTGTGTGCTCCAAACGCTTGTTGACACAACAAAAGTCTTAACACACTATAATGTGGCATTTAAAAATATATAATATATGTCGTCTAATAATAAGGCGAACAGCTAGTTATATATATGTATATAACTTGTATTTACTATGCTATATATCTGGTATATATTTTAAACTGTCCAATTGTTGTCTACAAATCTTCTTTCTTCTGTATTGACTGATCGAGTGCTTCTTGAATTAAGCCTGTCTTTTGGTGATATTAGAAATTAGACATGAAATAAGTTGATCTACATATTCTGAATCTTCTTGCAACAGTTCATTAGGTTGAAATTAGCACCTCACGTTATTAAATCTTCTTCTATAAAGAAATTTGTTATTTGATTTAATACTCTAATGCTTTGAGCCTATATAACTATTTTTAATTTGATAATTTGTTCTCATTAATATCATTGGCATTCAAGTATTTTTAAATTTTAACATAAATTATACGAAAAATTTTTTACTATCAATTTAAATAGATAAATTAAACTTATAGTATTATTATTGTGGAAGATTTTAAAGACGAAGAATGAAAGTGGGGAGAAAGTCAATCAAGAACTATTAGGTTCTGGGTTTAGTTGAAAGGATCCCAAAACATATTCTATTCTATTCAATTCTACTCACCTGGTAATTCAGTAACAGCTTAGACAGAGCATCCCCAACAGCCCTCTCTCCATTGCTTCCACTGGAAGTTTGGAGATTGTGCCTGGATCTCCAATTAACACCTTAAAAAGAAGATAGACCATTAGTTTCATCTGAGCAGTTTCTGACCTTCTAGGACCCATATATAATGTAAAGATAGGATATCATGATGGTTTTATGTAACATAGGGTTCCAATTGGGGTTTTTCGAAGTTGTCTAATAAAATAATTTAGGTAATCAACTTTTCAGTAGTTTATTTTCTTTGTGCATGAAGAAAAATCAATTCCCTCAAGTTTCAGGAGTGGCTAAAATTCAACAAAATATCTAAAGCAGATGTTTTGTCTCCAGTTTGGATCAAGTAGATTATGGACCTATTTTTTTTAAATTATTAGCTTATAAGTTTAATTTCATCCAAAAATTAAATGAGCTAGGAATATTGAACTGACCAAATATGCAGTTTTTATGTGCCCATGTTCTTGGTAAAAATTTCTCATCTCTGAATGTAACATATTTTTTTTTTTCTATAGTTATTACAATCTTCATAATATTTATTATTACCATTCGTCAGTCTGTCTGTGCTACTCAAATAGCGTTTGTAATAGATATGCTTTTATTTAGTTTTTGTAAGTAAATGGAGCGTGTTATAACATAACTCCCTTCTCCGGCCAAGGTTAAGTTTCGTGATTGCGACTGCGGATATATTGTTAACAATTTGTTATACTAGCTGTATCACGCGGTTCTGCCTGATGATAATATCATATATATATATATATATTGGAGACAGTACCTACTTATATTGGTACGTAAAGACATACAAATATTGCAAATATTTGATTAATAATTCAATTTGTATTACGAATACAGTTCATAATTAATAGATTATATAAAATTTTCATGTTGTTTAATTATGAGAAGACTATGGGGTTCAAAATTCGTGATAATTTTATTTTACTCGGATTCAGAGACTAGGAATATGCTTACAAAGAAATTATATCGTCGAAACTCATGCCAAATAAGCAACGCTTCAAGTTTCTCATTCAATAAGTAAAGTTAACGCGGATTTTAGAGTAAAAAACTATTAACTACTAGCTTTCCGCCCGCAGCTTCGCCCGCGGAGTTCGGTAATATCCCGTTTCCAAGAGAACCTTTCAAAAGTCTGGGATAAAAACTATCCTATGTGCTTTCTCAAGGTCAACTCTATCTCTGTACCAAATTTCATTAAAATCAGTTCAGTGGTTTAGGCGTGAAAGCGGAACAGACAGACAGAGTTACTTTCGCATTTATAATATTAGTAGGGATCAGCATATAGTGCGATGTTTGAAACTCGTAGTCAACACAAATATTGACATATCCCAACAATTTATAAGGACACTAAGTTAATTGCTATTTATATTAATAAATAATAATTAATTGATTGGAATTATTTGCTAGTTTTATTTGCAATATTGTATGTATATGTATGAATTAAAATAACATAACTTTGTATTATTTTTCTTTTATATTATCTTGTTGAATCTCACAATAACAATATCAGTTCCGCTTAGATACTATGTACATATATGTATATATGTGCATATATACATGTATTCTTTGGAGCTATTAATCAACTATATAGTCATTTGCCTTTGATTCTGTCCGATTCTTGGATAGGTACTTGGGATTAAAAAATATCGTGTCAGCATTTGTATAATTATTTAAGAAAATAACTAACTATTGTATATATACTATATACATGTCTTCTTTTACCTGGCAATTCCCCGGCTATAGCCAGGGTCTGCCTTACATGTTGTGAATAGTTTTGGCTAATTGTTTTTACGACCGGCCGCCTGCCTGACATCAACCCTCTTTTTGGGAATGCATTAATCACTGATGTCTAAATATACCATAAATATGTATAATGAAAATTGTTTGTATAATTGTCCTATTAATATTTTTGTATATTTTCAGGTAAATATGTTTGAGAGTCATCTGTAACGGTAAATATATTATCATTAATTGATGATTAATATTTATTAAATGTTTTATCATAATCGTTTTAGGAGTTTTAGTGTAATCTGAAGCATACATACGTTTCACGAAAACGTAACCATTCCAATCACATATTACTAACTTATCATCCCTACTAATATTATAAATGCGAAAGTAACTCTGTCTGTCTCTTACGCTTTCACGCCTAAACCACAGAACTGATTTTAATGAAATTTGGTACAGAGATGGAGTTGTCCTTGACAAAGAACATAGAATAGTTTTTATCCCAGACTTTTGAAAGGTTCTCTTGGAAACGCGATATAACCGAACTCCACGCGGGCGAAGCTGCGGGCGGAAAGCTAGTAAGAAATTATTCAGTATAGAATCGAACAAACAGTATAGAATACAAAAGATATATAATAAAATCTGTCCAGATTTGAAATATATGAGGCGTGTATTATGTTGTTGAAGATTATCGCGTTTTGTGTAAACATAATCTCACCAAAAACATGCCTGTTAAAAAGGGGGCCAAGTTCCAATCGGCTAATTGTTTGCCTAAAAAAGGGGTGAAATCCAATCTAATGCCAAGTTTAGATGCACTTTGAAATCGATCATAATCATCTTCATCAACAGCATGATCCACTGGTAAACATTTGCCATTCCCAAGACTCGCCACCACACCCAGTCCTCTGCCTTCCACATCCAGCCACTACCCGCCACCTTATTCACGTCAACGGTCCATCTGACCGAAATTCACTTTACCATACACCCAACTTAAAATATGGTATAGTTGTGAAAATACGTAGGTGCTTGGTTAAAAATATCTAAAATTATAATACTTCTCAATTTGAACTTGGCAGGTTTTTGTGCTGTAGGTAACACTTAATTAATTGTATCATTAATTTATTATTTAGTTATTTATATTTATATAATTTAAATATTATATAATTTAAATAATTAAATTAACCTGCCAAGTTCAAATTTAGAAGTATTATAATTTTAGATATTTTTAACCAAGCACCTACGTATTTTCACAACTATACCATATTTTAAGTTGGGTGTATGGTAAAGTGAATTTCGGTCAGATGGACCGTTGACGTGAATAAGGTGGCGGGTAGTGGCTGGATGTGGAAGGCAGAGGACTGGGTGTGGTGGCGAGTCTTGGGAATGGCAAATGTTTACCAGTGGATCATGCTGTTGATGAAGATGATTATGATCGATTTCAAAGTGCATCTAAACTTGGCATTAGATTGGATTTCACCCCTTTTTTAGGCAAACAATTAGCCGATTGGAACTTGGCCCCCTTTTTAACAGGCATGTTTTTGGTGAGATTTCAACACTTTTTTTCAAGAAATCGTACATACAATCGTACTATACAGCCGTACAATGCATAACTTACAGCATGAAACATACAGCTACCATCTGATGGCATAGGAATTACCCTATGTGGTATATCTCCGCCAACCACCGAAAGATGTACAATTTCCATCGTTGGTAAATGAATAGTAGAAAAGAAATAGAGTGAATTTGTGCTTTTAACACACACAAGTAATCAATCAATAAGCAATATCAAAATTAATCCTTTAGCAAGTCAAATCAGTGATCCATTTAATCGTAATCGTAACCATATATAAGATATCAAGACATAAGTGTAGAAAGAAATAGAAAGAAATGACCATCGATTCCTTATCGACTTTCATTCATATATACTGCAGACAAAACAATATCGCGATTTAATTATACTGCTAGCGCCGTCTATCGAAAGTAATTTATAACAATAGAAACCTGATTTTTTAGGTAAGCAATATTTAATTAAGTTATACAGTGTGCATTATGTATACATGACAATATTTTATATCCCTTATATATATCAGTTCTTAAGAAGCGCCCCACACTTTTTTCACAATAATATTAATTTAAAAATAAATTAACAAACAATAAATGGTATTTTTGTGAAAAAAAGCGTGATGAGCTTCATATATAACTTCTTGAGAAGCGCCCCACGCTTTTTTTTCAATAATACCATTTATTGTTTATTTTAAACAATTTAAATTAAATTGATTTCCAAGGTTGTAAAAGTTAAATTAGTTTCCACGCGGTTTCTTTCATCATTGGAGCGTGTTTTTTAATTTTTTTTTAAATATATTTATTTTTTATTTTTTAGTTTCATTTATCACCGATTGATAGATGTACTCATATTATTAATTATTAATATTTCATTATTATGTATTTTATTGTGCTGAGCTGAGCGCCTATATAAAGGTTTTGATTACCTGTCAGTGAGTCAGTGCCAAAATTAGCTATTTTCACAGGGTCATATTTCAGGATCTACTGAAGCTTTATCTATGAAATTTGGCATACTGCTTAAGGACTAGTATATGATTACGTAGGTAGAATTTTATCTCTGTACTTGCAATAGACACTGAGCTACAGGGGGTCAAAAGTGGGTCGAATTTATTAAAAATTCGATATTTAGAATTGAGGCAACTCACGCTTGACCGATTTCTTAAATTTCTTAATTTTTTGTTAATCTACATATAACACACAACCTGTGTACCAAATTTCATAATGCTAAAACAATGGGAAGTGGCCTAGAGGTTTTGATTACCTGTCAGTGAGTCAGTGCCAAAATTAGCTATTTTCACAGGGTCATATTTCAGGATCTACTGAAGCTTTATCTATGAAATTTGGCATACTGCTTTATTACTAGTATATGATTACGTAGGAAAAATTTTATCTCTGTACTTGCAATAGGCACTGAGCTACAGGGGGGGTCAAAAGTGGGTCGAAACGGTTCGTGTAAATATAGTGCACGGCATGCGCCGGCCTGTGGAACTTGGCCGGCGCACTACCGTGCGCTTAGATATTGTTGTATTACATTAACATCAAACAGGTTGGAACAAATTAACGGTGGTATTCTAATTATATATATATATGACTAGTTGTTACTCGCGACTTCGTCTGTATTAAAAAAAGGTCTAAAAATAATGATAATCTTTTAAGTGCTGCATTCGCCTATTCTCACTTTCGCGCGATAACGATTAATTTCGGGATAAAATTAAAATTAGCCTAAGCTACTGCTTAACATCAACTACCTGCTAATAAAAGTAACGTCAAAATCGGTTAAGCCATTTTAGAGATTAGACGGAACAAACAGACAGATAGGCACTCAAAATAAAAATGATATTTTATTGTATATATTTATATGCACGTAGTATAAGCGGTTTTTTTCAGTATGACAAACAGATATTCCAATTTTATTTATATATATATATATATATATATATATATATATATATATATATATATATATATATATATATATATATATATATATTATGCAACTTCTCTAAAGCAAATAAATTATTATCCTTATAGTCAATGTTTACTTCATTCATATTAAGTTCTAGACAATTCTTCTACTTGTAATAGCTGTTAATGAATTATGTAATATAATCGAAATTTTAATGTGTTTACTAAATTATGAAAAATATACGAATTTTGAATTACAGACTGTATTAGATTTTGAATTTTGGATAAGCAATTGTATTGAAAATGTATTCGGATATAAACTTCTTAATTCTCTTGTTCTACCTGGCAATTTACCGGCTATAGCCAGGGTCTGCCTTACTTGTTGTCAATAGTTTTGGCTAATTGTTTTTTACGACCGGCCGCCTGCCTGACATCAACCCTCTTTTGGGAATCAGCATTAATCAGTGATGTCTGTATATTCATAGAAAGTACATATGACTCTGAAAAATCACATTGGTACTTACCCGGGCCAGGATCGAACCCGCAATCTCGGCAACGAGAGGCGGGCCCTCTAACCATTAGGCCACCACTGACAATTTGACAATGAACTTCTTAATTGTATTCTTAAATTATTCCTTTGAATGTGCATTCGGATACGCCGGCATTAAAATCGGATAAATATCATATTGATGCTGAATTTTTGGTTGTTAAATGCCGTTCATTATTTGGCTGTTTTCTCATATTTAGATGATGTCATGCAGTAATAATATTTTTAATATTAATGACAAAGCTTAAAGTTAAGTACACTTCATCTCGAAGACACAATATTGTCTTCTTCTACCTAGCAATTTCCCAGCTTTAGCCAGGGTCTGCCTTAGATGTGTGAATAGTTTTGGCTAATTGTTTTTACGACCGGCCGTCTGCCTGACATCAACCCTCTTTTGGGAATGCGTGATGTCTAAATACTCTTAGAAAGTACATATGATTCGGAAAAATCACATTGGTACTTGCCCGGCCAGGATCGAACTCGGTCCCTCGAGCATGAGAGGTGGGCCTTTTAACCACTAGGCCACCACTGACTGTATTAATCTAAAAACTTACCATTAGAGTCATAACCAACTATCACGATGTCTGTCAAATTCAATCCTTCATTGGCTAAATCGTTCCAAACGCCCAAAGCTCTATTCAGTGCCAAGGGTCTAAGCGGCACTAAAATGCCCGCTGGAGGCCTCAACCAGGAATCTTCAAGCCAGGATTTGAGGGTAGTACTGCGGTTCATGTATGGCACTGGTTTTGTCTTCTCATATGTCCGTAAATCGAAGCTCTGCTGGATTTCAGCTATGGAAAATGGTTACAGGAATTAGATTTGGATTTGAACTACCATATATAGGTAATTTTTTGGGGAGTTTCAAATAATTAGTAGCAGTTAAGTTATATATATATAAAGATCAAAAATAGAATAGAACATTAGAAGTCAAGAATATTCAATTTCTTAGGACATTAATAGCATTAAAGAGTATACATGGACTGTTTGAAGTATAATCACAGAGGTTTTTCCAAATTAGTTCAGAATTAACCAAAATATACAAAAGTTTTTAGGACTGTTTCTTTTAATCATCTATGTTTTCTATATGTCACAAGGCAAAAGCTTTTATATATCTTCCCAATAATATTAACTGCTCGTAAACTACGCTCATATGCTCACAATATATACAATATTTTACCTGAATAACTTTTTCTACATTATATTTCGAGGTATACCTAGCATATAAACACACTAGCTTTCCGCCCGCAGCTTCGCCCGCGTGGAGTTCGGTTATATCGCGTTTCCAAGAGAACCTTTCAAAAGTCTGGGATAAAAACTATCCTATGTTCTTTCTCAAGGTCAACTCTATGTCTGTACCAAATTTCATTGAAATCAGTTCAGTGGTTTATGCGTGAAAGCGTAACAGACCGGCAGAGATACTTTCGCATTTATAATATTAGTAGGGATATATTTTCTTATTGCAAACGAGTAAGCGAGTGTGCGTGGTGATTAATGCTCTAACTTATGTGAGAAGAGGCAGCTCAGCAGTGGGCTCTGTTAGACCGATGATGAGTTTCGTATTTCTCATATTGTTGAGGTATTGTCACATTAATCTTATAAATTACTAGTAGTTTCGGAGATTAGCGCTTTCAAACAAACAAACAAACAAACAAACTCTTTAGCTTTATAATATTAGTATAGATTAATTATTATTGGTTTTGCGAAAGACACTAAATTAAGCTTTAGAGGCCATTTAAATAATATATTGAGTTTTCGCTCGTTATATGATAAATGCATTAAATTAAGTGAAACTATCTTCGCAACCATTGGAATAGAGTCTGTATAAACGTTTGCCTAATATTAGTTTTCGTCGACATTACCGACAGTTTCGAGTTTAAACGCATAAAAAATCGTACGTTTCGAACGATGAAAAAACTCGTAGTTACAATTATAAATTTGTGTTATAGTTATATTGATTTAAAGAATAAATATATGGTTACTGCTTGTTTATTAAATAATTATTTAAAATATAATATTAAAGATAAATTTAGCGAAATATTTGATTGCAAATATGTGATAAATAATGAAAAATTTGTCGTTATGAGTAGGTCACGATAGCTAAGTTGGAAAAGCAACTGGAACGATTTATTTTAGCGGTTCCAGTTCGAATCCTGCTCGTGTTATTTTTATTTTTTATTCATTAAGAACAAAATTTGATTTGTTTTCCAAAATGCTATATATAATTAGTATTATATATGTATTAATATACTCAAATTTATTATTTGTATAAACTTTTTCTGAAGAGTAGTCATACATACATAAGCATAGATAGTCGTAGTACTAAAATCGAAGTGACAAGTTTTAGTGATGCCATCTAGTTAGACTTAACTAGAATTATAACGGTTCATCTTACCTTCGGTTTTAGGATTCCTCTGTCCAAGGTTCTCATGATGGAACAATTCCTCTGCTTGTGTAGTATTTTCAGCTTCATCTAAACTCTTTATTGTAGTTTCAGGCTGTAATATAATGAAGAAATTAAAAATTTGTAGATAATTTTCTATTATAGTAAATAAATTAAAGAACAGTAACTATAAAAATATGTAAGACTAGGACACCTGGCGAACTTCGTATCGCCCTATAATCAAGAAATATCTATTACGTTTTTTTATTTATATTGTTGGAGTTTACCTGTAATCCATAAATCTCCGTGTTTTGAAGTGCGACAGAATGATTGACATATTAGTTAGTTGTCAAATCTAATGTTAAAATAAACGTTTGTATGGGAAATAGAAAAGGGCTGTTTTTATGGTTTTCCCAGTAATGGATCAATTTTTTTCAGCTTTTATACCTTCCCTGAACCTCCACGAACATTTCAAGACTAAGATAAGATAAATCCGTTCAGCTGTTCTCGAGTTTTAGCGAGACTAAGGAACAGCAATCCATTTTTATGTATATAGAAGACTGTTGGTGTTTTTGATACCAAATAATGCGAAAGACTAATGTATTATTATAAGTACATAATTATTTTAATTATTTCTATGAGTATAACAGATTTAAAACTCTAGTTTTTTCTATATATGAACCAACAGTCAGCGCCATCTATCGCGTGTCTTTACTTCATACAATACATCTGTCATGAAGTGTTCCCGGGAACTACACGGACTGAACGATACATTATATACTATCTTCTTCTACCTGGCAATTTCCCAGCTTTAGTCAGGGTCTGCCTTACATGTTGTGAATAGTTTTGGCTAATTGTTTCTACGACCGGCCGCCTGCCTGACATCAACCCTCTTTGGGAATGCATTAATCAGTGATGTCTAAATACTCTTAGAAAGTACATATGACTCGGAAAAAATCACATTGGTACTTGCCAGGATCGAACCCGCGGACACATATACTATGTGTTATTATAATATATGACATATATAATTGAGAATTTTCATCAAATCCATTTAGCCATTTTTGTACTATCCATATTATTTTGATCTATCATGAGAGCTTATAAGAAAAAACATTATGAAACTAGAAGACCCGGCGAACTTCATATCGCTCTATAATCAAGAAATATCTGTTAGAATGATTGACACATTAGTTAGTTGTGAAATCTAATGTCAAAAAAACGTTTGTATTGCAAATGAAAAAGGGCTGTTTTTATGGTTTTCCCGGAAATGAATCAATATTTTTCAGCTTTTAAACCTTCCCTGAACCTCCACGAACATTTCAAGACTAAGATAAGATAAATCCGTTAAGCCGTTCTCGAGTTTTAGCGAGACTAACGAACAGCAATCCATTTTTATATATATAGAAGATATAGCTTCATAAATTTGAGCTGTTCTGAACTACATACCTGGTTACTCATAATATACTCCACATCCTTGTAAGTGGACAGCATCTCCAGGGGATTGGCTGTGGTAATATCTTCATCATATACTTCAGTTCCATTACCTAATATATTGGTAATATTCTCCTCTTTGGGTTGACCCAAATCCTCACTTGGTTCATCAATTATAATCCCACCTCCCATCATCATTTCAAGTTGCTTAAACTCCTCACTTCCATTTGAAATTATTTCACAATTGATTATTATAAGTAAATTTATTAACACTAGTATCGACAGCTGGCTTCGCTTGTTTAGTTCCATTGTTAGACTAAACTCATTTCTTGATGTGCAAGATCTTCTATACCAGTTCTGCGTCTTTGTAGCTGTGCCTAAAATAAATGCACCTGTAAATTTAAGTCTATTTATATGATGTGAAATTACCACGGATTTGTATAGACAAATTAAGTAATGGAAGTTTTTAATTTTTCACTTCGTAAAGGTTACAAATGGTAGTGGATCCATAGGTATAAAGTGTGAGCAAAAAACGGTAAACTGTAAGTTATTAGTTAGATTATAAAAACTACCATTAAGGATATTAATTTACTCGCTTCCTTCTATATCATAAATATTTTAAATGAAAAATTGTTTAATGATATCTAAGATTTTAAGTATTCATTTAAATGAAACTAATATTTTCGTAAACTACGGGTTTTTTATTATATTAACTACATACTCCCGACGGTTCGGTTACTTTGCAGCAACCGTGATCATTAAGACGAGATGTGATCTTATCCCTACTAATATTATAAATGCGAAAGTAACTCTGTCTGTCTGTCTGTTACGCTTTCACGCCTAAACCACTGAACTAATTTTAATTAAATTTGGTACAGACATAGAGTTGACCTTGAGAAAGAACATAGGATAGTATTTATACTCGACTTTTGAAAGGTTCTCTTGGAAACGCGATATATATGAACTCCACACGGGCGAAGCTGCGGGCGGAAAGCTAGTTCAAAATAATATTTTTTTCAATTCGTAAGCAATATTCGCTGCATATGTTTTAGTGAAATTGTAAATGTATTCTATTGATTTTAATAAAATTATCATTAAAGTGTCAAAATGTATACCATTTTACATAAAATTGTTGAAAATATTGTCGTGTAGATAAAAATGTGCTTAAAATATCAGCGGTATCTTCGCGATGTGGTTCCAAAGAGCTTTGGTTTCTTTAGAATTGTTTTAATTGACCAATACATTGATATCAATAAAATTAAAGTTATATATATATACTAGCTGACCCGGCAAACGTTGTTTTGCCATATAAAAAAATAGGGGTTGCTGATAAAGAAGTAAAAATTTTGAATTGTATGTATTATAAAAAAGTAGAAGCAAAAAATTTCGTCAGTAAATAAAAATAAATAATTAAGGGTGAACAACCCTTATGACTTAGGGGTATGAAAATTAGATGTTGGCCGATTCTCAGACGTACTCTATATGTTCACAAAATTTCATCCTAATCAGTCCAGTCGTTTCGGAGGAGTTCTCTGTCTAACACCGCGACACGAGAATTTTATATATAAGATACGTGTATATTATTTTATTATAAAACTCCTAACCTTTTAGTATATAGGTATAATAAAAACAACTAATTTTAAATTTGGTTTATCAATAATTCTTAAAAACATATTATTACAGAGTTTTCTTTTAGAATTTTTATAAAATACATAACGTATTTCAATCGTAATATAATTTGTCTTCTACCTGGCAATTTTCTAGCTATAGCCAGACCGCCTTATATATTGTGAATAGTTTTGGCTTATGTTTTTACGATCGCCTGCCTGACATCAACCCTCTTTGGGAATGCATTAATCAGTGATGTCTAAATACTCTTATAAAGTACATATGACTCGGAACAATCACATTGGTACTTGCCAGGTTCGAACCCGTGCCCTCGTGCATAAGAGGCGGCCTTTTAACCACTAGGCCACCACTGACTTTTCGTAATATAATTTATATATACATACATTATTGTATTCTTAAACAAAATATCTTATATATTTCTATTTTTTATCGTACACAATGCTATAAGGTTTTCATATTGACCGGTTGATCTCCGGACAGTTTAAGGTTGTACATACGATTTACATAAGATGTACATACGAGTTCTTAAGTACCCGGATGTTTGTTTTTACACCTTACTAAAGAAACTTATTCTTATAAATACAATAATATATGTACGGTGGAGGTGAGCGTTTAACGTTAGATAGGGTCCCTTAAACCTACACCTGGGTCACAAGTCACAGTCACTGTTGAAGCTCCTCTCACTACAACGATGGACCCGACACACGCACCGTGAATACATGGAATGATGAGAGGTTTCGTCTCATCATTAAAAGCTGTTTAGCATTTAACTAAATTGTATAATATATCGATATTATGATAAAAAAAATGTTTAAAAGTAATTCATAGTTTTGCAAGTTTTTGCCTTATTATGTGACAAACACACATACATATATGTATTTGCCTTCATGTCATGACTTAATGACATGACATGACTAAGTAATACTATTGTAGATTAGAAAGAATTGCTAAAAAAAACAAAAAATTAATGTGAAATTCGTCTATGTATTGTAATTCACTCATTTTTTAACCTAAAAAATATAAAAATTAACCTATATTCAAGTTAAAACACGATAGCTCAATTGGCAAAACAATTTGAACGCGTTAGCTCGAAGGTCGCGGGTTCTAAACCCTGTGTTGTTGAATTTTCTTGACATATTATGTATAAAAGAAAATCTTGTTAGTTACACTATTTATAACATAAGAACGGCTGTACGGGTTTGGATAAAGATTGGTGGAGAGATAGATTAGAACATAGAATTCTTTTGAATTCGTTCGACCAAAAAAATAATAATTTGTTAATAAAATCAAAAATCTCTTTATTTACTGGTACTTTAAATCGAAACAGTTCTCCTGGTCAGCTATGCCTTTCTAATTATGGAAGTAACCCAGACAAAGTCGCCAGCAAAAGCTAGTATTTTCAAAGTAAAAATTTATTTCATCTAAATATAGTAACTATATAACATATTTTATAATTGTTTAAATTGTTCTGATTATCAAAAATATGTACATATTTCTGTTAGTAGAATATTTTACCTAAAACTAGCTTTCCGCCCGCAGCTTCGTCCGCGTGGAGTTCGGTTACATCGCGTTTCCAAAAGAACCTTTCAAAAGTCTGGGATAAAAACTATCCTATGTTCTTTCTCAAGGTCAACTCTGTACCAAATTTCATTAAAATCTGTTCAGTGGTTTAGGCGTGAAAGCGTAACAGACAGACAGACCGACAGAGTTACTTTCGCATTTATAATATTAGTAGGGATTTAAAACCTTTATGAAGAAATATTATGCTTATTTACAATGATATTACTACAAGTTTGTCACGATACGATATATAGTATATACGAAAGTTTTTACGTGTTAAGATTTACCAGTGAAAAACTTGGTAATCAGTGTGACTATGCAAATTCGTGGTAAGCGTAATTAACTCAGATTTATATAAAAAGTCGAAAGAACTATAATCATCATCATCAGCCTATCAGAGCCCACTGCTGAGCTGCCTCTTCTCACATGGAGAAGAAGAAAGAAGTTTAGAAACGGATAATTAATTTTACACAATGCTTACTCTAAGTGTACATCGTCACTACATACTCCACGTCAACAGTATTTCATTCGTAACTTCACATAGTATTAACGTATTGATGAGAAACGGGAAACTATTAGTATGTAGTGTACAAACATGTGGTAAGCGTAAAGAACTTGTACGTTACGTTAAGTAAGTCTCGTTGTTTTGTAATATTTATTTTTTTTCCATACAATCACGTCACATTATAAATTTCCATAATTCACAAGTTTTTGGAGTACCTCCAATACGTGTCGTAATATCAGTCTTAAAAGCTATATCTTTTGCTGCGGCTTTGTCTATATTTTATATATATATATATATTTATATTTTATCAAATATGTCAATGAATAAGTTTCGTATATTACTAAGATTACGTACAGTAAATGATAATGCTTAATTTCCTTATCGGAATAAAAAGTATCCTAAGTTATTCCCTATTATATCAGCAAACTGCCAGTAAAAGTCCCGTCACAGTCGGTCCAGCCATTTCAGAGATTAGCCGGAACAAACAGAAAGACAGGCAGACAAAAATTGTAAAAAAATATCTCGGTGTATGTTTAGAATATATATTTTTAATTAATTATTATATGACGTAGTTAATTCGATGCAAGTCTATGACATATAAGTAAATTAATGCATTCTCTTATTCCATCGTAGGCTCTGTAATATCAGTTCGATATTGTATTCAAATCCGATCAAATCTCAAATGAAAAATGGAAAATTTTTGAAGATCTTGAAAGGAAATCTCAGCAGATTTCTTTAATCTGAGCTGAATATAGCTTATAATAGCTAATAACAGCTACTTATTTAATACCTGAAACACCTGGAAAATTTTCTCTGGTTTTTCTTTCTGTATCTCCAATTTAGTTAAATCCTAATCCATCTGGATCTAGATTAAACCTGGATAATCTGTAATATCTGGATTGATTATGAATGGAATTTAAAGAGAATCTTCCATAGTATTGTCAAACAAAAAACTTGTTTGGCTGACCCCATTGTGATGTAACTCAAGCTATTATATAATCCTCTTCTCGATCTTATGGCTTGTATGAAATTTTATAAAATAACGACTGATAATTTGAATTAATGTTTTTCCATCAACATATCTCGTACAACCATTACTATTAATGGGCGATAGTTAGAACGTAACACGCCATTCTGTGATATAACGGTGGGGTGGGTAATCGTTATTGAAATAGCGATTTGAGAATTTATATACAAAGTTATAAAAGTGAAAATATTTCAAGCTAATTGTTTTTGTCTAACGTAATAGCTTATTGTATTAAAGCTTAATAAATAAATAAATTTTAATATCTGTTTTAAGTCATTATGAATTGTTTTCAAAACTAAGAGACTGTATTCCTGGCATGTCTGTATTTTTTTCTGATATACAATCTATCTATACGGAGATTTCATTAAAAAAGTTTCAGCTCTTTATTTGCAAATATATCTAATATATATACTAGGTTTTTCGCGCGACTTCGTCTACTTTAATTTCGGATTTAGTAATATATGTATAGCTGACCGGGCGAACTCTATTCTGCCATAGTTAATAAGCAGATATTGGAGTTTATTAAGTTGTTTTTGTTTTAATCGAACAGTATTAAATATCCTATGTCCTTTCTATGTTCTAATCTAT